CCCCAAAATTCTGCTGACCGTCTGCAGAAAAACGCGAGTTTGCGGACCGCCTGCCCCCGGCGATTGTCTAAGTGCCCCCGCTGATTATCTGAGCGTGAACGACTTTGCCTTTGCCACTATCAATTTTTATGATTTCCCGCTTGATCTCGCCAGTTGCATACAGTCGTTTCATTTCATATGAGCATGTGTGTCATTGCACACACAGTTCACCTTTGGCGTCCCCATCCCGGATTCGTGGGAGAAAGGGTTTGTTCGATAGGGCGATGTAGGTTGTTCGATTGGGCAATTCCCTCCTTAAAAGGACCGTCCTCGTGCTGTTCCGGATCCTAACAAAGAGGCCGGGAGGAGTTTTGGGACCAAAGTTTTACAAACTAAACTATAAGAGTGAAACAGAGTTATGTAAAAATTTTAAAAACTTAAGTGAATCTTTGCGGTATTTCGTTTCATATGATACAGCTCAATTCTAACTCTACTTATACTCTGATGGCCATGAAGCGCGTTCTTCTTCCTAATGTACACGGTGTCCCAAATGTAAGTACTCACTCTTTGATCGGTGGTAACTCTCTTCTCAGGAAGCCTTTTGCTTAGCTGCAAGTACCATGCAGTAGTGCGCTTCAACTTAGGTTTATAGTATGGGGCAAAACACCTATGGCTCTTAACTGCTGTAAGATCGGTAGGAAAATATACAGCGCCATTTTGAAATAGGCCAGCAAAAAAAGCTTCCGAAAAGCTGGAAAGTTGTGTAGCAGTGTTTCAGAGATGCTAACACCATTAGACAACCTTGCTGAGAGTTTCTACGCGTTCCAATTGGTTTAGCCATTTTGGGCCAAAATTCATACATTGATTTCAACCATCGATGTATGTTTTTATAGAAATTTGATAGGAAGTTAAAGGCAGCGGACAGGCAAAATGGACCCCTGTCAGATTTTGGTAGTTTCGGGTAGTGGACCCCCCAAGTACACCGTAGCCCCAACCCCACATTCCAATTCATGCGCTAAGTCCTGAAAAAAGCGCTTCAAAACTCCACCAGCCCCGCCCACTTGCATTGAGTGGGCGTTATTGGTGGAAGTTTGAAGCGCTTTTTTCAGGACTTAGCGCATGAATTGGAAGTTGGGGTTGGGGCTACGGTGTACTTGGGGGGTCCACTACCCGAAACTACCAAAATCTGACAGGGGTCCATTTTGCCTGTCCACTGCCTTTAAGAAGGGCTTTTACTTTGTTAAAAACCCTCTTCAACTTCTATTGTAATACTACAGTAATGAAAAGCTATAGGTGCTTTGCTCCATACCAGCAATCCAAGTTCAAGCCTGCTCTACTGGATGGCTGTTGAATCTAACCGAAAGACTTTGTGTGAGAAGAGATATTAACGATCAAAAAGTGCGTACTAACATTTGAGACAACCCTATATTAATTGCCACGTCCAATCATGTTGAAACATGATTGCTTAGTTCCTCAGAAGACTTTCCTGCCAAACCATGGTAACGTGCACCTACAAGATATACGGCATTATCAACATGGCAGTTGGAAAATCACTAGCAGTAGATTTCATGCACCGCTGATACGTCATGGCATGTTCCGAATAAACGTCAGTGAGTACTCTGTTGACTACCAGGTAGATTTTAACCTCAAGGTAGATTTGTGAATAGCAAAGTTACCGTGAGGTTAAAATCTACCTTGAGACGTGCTCTCAAGGTAAAATTCAACCTCAAGGTTCGTTGATGAATACGGCCACTGCTCCCGATTGCCTGGGATCATTCTTCAGGTCATTTTCCGCTAACAATAGTAGCTAACATTCATTATGACGTCATGCTGTAGAGTACAATTGATGTTGAAACTTAGCGTTCACATTTTAAGCATAATTTGTGTGCCCGTTTTTCGGGCGTATTATTCGCAGTGCGCATTGCACATAAGAAGCTATAGTAAGATTTTCCAAAAAACTCTCTTCACTAATAATTTCGACAGAAAAACGGGAGGCTCTTCTTCAAAGCCGGGAGAAAGAATGATTCTAGAGATATGCGAGGTCTACAAACCATCTATCTAAAATAAGTCCTAGTAGCATCTGGAAAGGCAAATTTTGCATTAGTACTGTGGTCTGCATGCTAATTGCCTACAGGGCTCCTCAAATGCAGAGTCGGGTGGGCCGGCAGCTCCCGCCCTGCGCGGCCGCATTGCGCGTCTGCGAGATATGAACCAGGGCCCGGCATGAGTCGGTTTCCAAGGCTTCTGAAAACGAAGTCTCTCCTGATTTTCGAAAATTTTACGAAGTCCCTTTGGTCCTTATCGGAAGCCTATCAACTTAGGAGAAGATGAAGACATGAAAGAGTCACTAGTCTGAAAGGAAATGTAAAATATGGAAAATTGAAAGTGGAGCTGAGTAATACGCATGCACAAAAGCTTGTCATTGGAGCGCGATATCTAACAGAGCGAGTTATGAAGAAATTGAAGCAAAAACAAGGGAAAGGCGACGATTTGGAAATGTTTCCATGCTCACGGATGAATTCTTGACCGCTCCGAAACTTACGTAAACTTACAAAAATATATGCTCCAGACAATCTCAGATTGTCTGGAGGCCGTCTATAAACGGTGTAATTTTGGAAAAGTTTCTACTTCACATAAGTTTTCAGAACTTTTTGCATAATTTTTCCGTAAATAATAGGATTTAATAATAGGATGTCTACAGTCTAAATTTGGTGTCGTATGCTTGTCTCTAAGTTGTAAACAAACAATTGTCAATTTTGGCTTTGCTTTTAAAGCGCGAGCGCTTTTCGCTGGACACCATAGAGCACGTTCATTGTGTAATAACTTGTCTTCAAAGGTTGTGCTTGAGGAGAGGTGGGGGGGGGGGGGGAGGGAGGGCACGCGGAAGGCGACAATGCGCGCTGAATGCAAGCACTAACATCTCTCTTACTCATTTTTACAGAATTTCACTTGTGGCATCGAGTCACGTATCTGCCCCCCCCCCTCCTACCTTGACGCCGTGTCACTTTAGCACCGAAGAGTTTTGAAAGACACAAAATGGGGACTGTCGCCTTCCGTACCACACCCATGCATGTACACATTTTTTCCGCCCCGGATCCCCGTAAAAAACGATATCCTCTTTGCTTTTTGTCCCAAAAACGAAGTACAGCCTGCTTCCAGACGATCTGTGCCGGGCGCTGGTACGAACCGAGCATCTTGGCAAGCCTCGGTCGACGGCGCTGGCATTTTTTCTCGGCCTTTTCGTCTCTCTTCTTCGTTCTTTCGCCCATTTAGTACTCAACAAGCCTCATCATAATCTTACGATGTAATCTCATGCCAACAGTCTGCGTCACAAAGCTTTTATGCATCTAGCTGATGTTTTAGGATTTCGGCTTGGCAGAGATGAGGTTTTGTAGAATCCCAGCTCCTGTTTGCTCGCCATGCAATTATAGGAGCTGTGTGTTTGTCAACTATGATTACCAACAGTAAACACTGAAAAGTTTGTGATTATCATCATTTCTTCATGATGTTATTGTATAAGGTCCATGTTGCGAAGTTCTATAATTGATGACCCATTTTGTTGTTTTCATCCACCTATCAATGCTTGCTGTTTTTGACTTTGCATACAGGTATGTTTATGATCCTCCCTCGAAGTTGCTGATGTTTCAAAACGCAGGTGTCAGCGAATGGCTTTGTGCATGCCGCGTATTGCACGTCCAGACACAGATGCTACTGCGGCTCAGTCAGTTAGAAAAAATGGTGAGTTTTACTTTTACCTTCGTCTGGGTGTTCTTATTCTTTGCACCCTTTCGCTTTGGGTCTTGTCAATGTTTCGTCTAGATTTTCTTTCATTCTTTCGTTGCGAACGAAAGTTGACTCATTCTAGTGAGTTTGCAAACATGTTTTATTCTTTCTGCGCATACTTTCCTCTGCAGGTATGTTCATAAAGCGTCTGCATCTCTACAATTCCCTCCCACCGAACTCGCATACGATTAAAACAGCATGATGTCTACTCAAGAAATGAAGGGCGCTAAATGAAGAATGTTGACTACTTGATAAATCCGTACTTGTCACACTTTTCCTGAATAAACTCCTTATTTGCCTCGAGCTGTCCGTGTGCAACTTATGATAAACATCGAAATTTATTCGCATGTATCTCTGCAAATGATAACTACATGATTGGACGATCTATTCCAAGAAATTCCCGGCTCTCATACATATAGTCGTGAATCTGTCACGTCTTCAATCTGCTAAATCCCTTCTGCATTCGATGTGGTCCGTCATCAACCTTGTATGAACAAAATGATTCTTGTATGACTTGCAGAAGAAGGTCATGCTAGATCGAAGTTAACCTCCAAAGATATAACCAGGGTTGAGCAAGAGGTCAGGCGCAAGGCTGCCAAATACGACCTCCCCCTCCTCCCTCTCCCTCCCCCCCCCCCCCCACCCAGCTCTGCACCCTTCTTCTCTGTGTACATTTTTACATTACAAAATATTTATTAAGTGCAACAGATTTTCAAAAAAATCCACAATCCAAAGTCATATTAAAGACTCGTGCTTCTTGCGTTTTTTATACTTTTGAGACATTTACAGCATTTATTAGAAATTATTAATTAAATTACATTTATTAGAAAGCGCAGAACGTGGAGGCTATCATGTGGTCCTACAACAACCGGGAACACGGCAACCTCGGTAATCGTTGCCGACAACTTATGGCCGTTTCTTTAGGTGCATCTGCTCATCTGAATCTGCTTCTGTGTCAACAGGAGAACCTTGTCGAAAATGTGGATCCAACGCATCAACCTCTTCCAGAACCATCTTTCAGTTGTAAAAAATGCAAACAAGACTAGTTGAAAACGCAGCAAATAACTGAGAAAAAGCCAATTTGAGAGTATGATTTTGAAATTGACTACCTACCGCGATTATAAGCATGAAAGAGGAAAAGAGGACTTACATTGCTCATTGGTATCGGCTTGGACAACTCGCTGATGATATTGGTGTTATCCACGTTATTTCCAACTTTCAATACCTTTCGTGGAGATCTACATCCTGTCAAGCTCTATTTGGAGCGCGCTAAACAAAAAGAAATCAGCAAAAACACAACGGAACCTAAATAAACTGTTTCATGTATGAGAGAAGAGATAAATTAACAAATCCTTAGCTAAACGAACGGAACTCACCGGCAGTCATAATTTTTGGGGTCGTTATCACCAGCTACAGCGACAACAGGTGGAGTTGAGGTATTATCCTAGAATAACAGGAAATCACGGCAATGCATCGGCAACACATCATCAACTGCACACAAATAATCCATTTTAGTGTAAGGCCTCGGACAGAGTTCACGCGATTTGATCGCCGCGATTCAATCGCTACAACTGTTACGAGTTCACTGCATGCCAGCCGACCAGCTTGCATTTCAGTCGTGATACTTTTCCAGCTCGAAATTTTTGAATGTAAAATGGAAATGAATGAAAATCGCGGCGATTGAATCGCGACGAAAATCGCGTGAACTCCGTCCGAAGCCTAAGGCACACCTCTTGATGTTTCCGCAAGAAAAAAAATTCTAGAAAAGAGGACTCTTACCTTTACGCTGGGTACCTTCTTCAACTCTTGAACGCAAAGGACCTTCCTTAGCGAACGGGCAATCGTCATCGAAGCGAGTTTCATTGGAATTGCCACCTAAAGTATGACACATAAGGATACGATCTAGAGTATTAGCATTTAACGCTTGATCGAAGAGAAGCGCTACCGATAATAACCTGTACGGAGAGCAAGACTACTGAGGCCATTGCTTAAGTTTTCAGAACAGCACATCTGAGGTGACTGCGTTCAGTTTATGATCAACAAGTGTCGAACAGGAGACTTTTCAGAAAAATAAGCAGTAAACCGAGGCCAGATAGAATTCCGAGAAAAGAACAATATACATGTGTACGAATGTAAGCACAGCCTTTTCAGAGAAAAACTTGCGAAAACATGATCACAACAAAAGTCAAAATAAAAGACTAATCGTCCATATCTTTAATTGAAAAATTCAATGCATTTGTGGGGTCATTTGTGGAATTCTATGCATTTTTAATCTGTGTTGTGATCATGAGTCATAGAATCGAAGAGAATGGAAAAGAATGAAAACAATCACTCTATCTAACAGGTCAGAGGAAAGTACAGGTGTAATATTACGAAAGAAGGAAATGATCAGAAGAAAATTCCTGCGGAGCAGTTTGAGGGTGAAATTATTGAGAATCGCGTTAATCCAATTCTAACACGGACATGACACACGTTAAATGGAGAAGTAACACTGCGAAGCAGAAAAGAAGGAAAGTAGGAAAAGGAAGGAGAAAAAACTTCAGGTTGGTGAGAGCCGGAGGTAGGGACGGAAGAACGGAACGGTCGAAAAATGGAGTTTGTCGCCCGCATTCCGTGCAGAAAGACAAGACGCGTTTTACATTACAGTAGGGCGAAATTAACTGAGCAAAAACGACGATCGCCTTCGGTGGATGAGTAGAATAAAACGCTGATAACTTTTTCAGGAGGTGATGAAATCGAACAAAATGTTGGCCTTGGGGAGAGAGAGGATAAATTAATCGTTTTAGTCAGAAACTGAAAAATTTTGATTGATTCAAAGATAAGTTAATGGGGTCAGGCGCAACCCCTCAAAAGTTCAGGCGGCCTGAGCTTTTGAGGTGTTGCGCCTAACCCGATTAACTTTATCACCGAAGAAGCTTTTCCGCCTCAGTTTTATATGATTCGCTAGCACAAACCTCGAAGATTCTGCAGCAGGTGTTTGAGCTCATCTCGACTTGTTTTGGCTTTGTGGTGATCGGTGGAGTTGAAGCACTCGAGGTAGAGAACGCGGTGACCAACATTTTAGCAGTACTTCTCAATCCATTATTTGAAAGCGATATGAAGTCTAATTTATACCGCAGACTGATAAAGAGCAATACTTTGTTTTGAATGCTAAAAAGCTGACTTCTTTCTCTTTTGTGACCAAGTTAATCATGTTTTGAAATCATGCTTTTCAAACGCTAAAAAGTATAATAGGTAATGGTTTGTGGAGCTCGTTGAGGTATTTTGGCATGCTGATCAAGGAAACCATACCCAACTTACATAAAAATCTTCATTGGTAACTTTACGGTACGTGTAATGGAAGAAGGAAAATTTGGCTGAGACTTCGTTAGTCGAGTCAATCAGCTGCTGTTCACGACAGTCATTCTCATCCTCTGATGGAGTTGTGAGATTCACGGTTTGACGCTTTTCTTCTTCAAATTACTCTATCGTAGCATTTCCTCTTTTTTGAACAAATTCGATTCTTGATTACGACCCTCCCTTGCTCTTACCCCCAATACGACCCCCCAGGTCGGGCGCGCCTGACCCCACGCTCAACCCTGGATATAACTTCTTTTTAGAATTTCCCGAAAAACCAATTCCAAGCGAAGTTGTAATAGACGTCTTTTGGTTTGCACTCGATACCGAAATTCTGCGGAAATCCTCAGAGCCTAGACGGAACTTTACTCAGTTGCTACCATATGATAAGCACGGCTGCTGCCCCGAGAAGAACAAGGCCACCAACTCCTTGTGCTCTGTATGTCAGCAGGCTACCAGCGGTATATTACGGCACAAAAGATACCTTAAACTTTTCGTACACATTTAAAACAGCTGCTTACGTGCGTTTGCACGGAAATGCTAAAAGGGAGTTACGGCGCATGCGCGCATATGCACATGGTTGTCAACATGTCAACAAACATTGAATGCTCCCTTTTGCAGACGTTCCTCATGTTTCTCTTTGTATTAATTTGTGAAACAATTTTGCGCTTTGGGCTCTTTTTAGCGAAGTTCGGCCATTGCTTTCGTTGCACAAGCAGAAAGTCTCGTTTATAGGCACCGTCCACCAAGAATTTCGACCTCCATGTTTTTGCCGATCTAGAGCCTTCTCATACTCCTGATTCCAAATATCAAGTCTGAAATCCGCGAAAACCACGAAAAACTCCCGTTTTCAGAACCCGCAGAGCGACTTCTTCAGAACGGTGATTGGCTGGGAGCGCCCGGATGGGCGGGACGAACGTCACGCCCACTCAAAGGGGAGGAGCCAACGTGGCGGTTTCATCCGAACGATTTTCGAAGCAGTTTTCTCGCTTCGGAAGCATCTTTTGCCAGCTCGAGTTGGATAAGTATACAGTTGGGGGCCCCACTTCTGTTAGCCATCAAAATCTCATCGATCCCATTTTGGGTGGACGGTGCCTTTAAGGGGGTATTCGTTAAAAAACTTGCAGTCAAAGGGAATTTCGTTTTGGAAAATCCCTGCCCGCAGCATGACGGGCCTGGTGCTATTCTCCTCCATATAAGATCTTAGTCGAAGCTCATGGTCGACTAGCACCCCCAAAATATCTTATTAGTTCAGGTCTGGAGAGAGGCGAAGACGCGAATTCTCCGGCTGTCACCAACTCAAGACTTCAGTTTAGTGCTACGCAAGTATAGTAAATGAAGTGCATTAACTTACCATCTGTCTATGGTTACCATTTGCTAAACCTGGAGGCTATTGCTGGAAAATGGACCGAAATATTCACGAATTTGTTCTTAACTGCATTTTCATGGGTTCCTTCAAAATTGCTGTATTGAATTAATCTTAAGGTAGCAAGATTGAAGAACCCATGAAACTATCTAATATATTTCTTTTTGAAATTTGCGACAGGAGAGTATCAGAGTTCGCGTAATCCTAAAAAGTGACATTTATCACTTCCTGCCAGAAATAGTCAGGCAAGCACTTTTGGTTAAGTTAACGTCAATATTGCCAAGAGTCGCTCAAGTCAGAAAAGTTTGCAGACAGCATGTGATACCTCACCTCTATCATTATCGCATATGATGCGGATTCTTGATGTCATCTGCATAGGTCATATCTTTGCCTCCATTTTTCATTACGTGCAGGATACTATGACTCACTAAATGGCCTCAGTCATGTGTCGATGAATCTGCCAAAGCAAGGATGCGAATAAACTTTATTGTACCATAAATCAGTACTGCAATTTCAAACAACATACAAATGTGTACACAATAATAATGCGGAGGTTGAGCGATTTAAATTCATCCGGGAAAGGCCCTGTGTCTTGCGTCTCGAATACGACGTTTGCAAAAATAGCAAATATAAAACTATGGGCTACCAAAATAAAGAGAAATGATGCTAAGCAACCACAGCACTAAGCAGCTAAAGCAGAATAACGTCGAGTTGCTCATGCTTCAAGAACACAAGCTAAACAATGTTATGGAAAAGGAAATGTATAAAGTAAGTTGTAGATCATAAGGATAGAGGATCGCTTTCAGACACACACGTTATCGACCAAGCACCAATCGTCGCGTGCCGGTCATGACGACATCCTGTGTGACAGGTCTAGAAAGTGCTTATGAATCACGGTACCACTTCAGAGATCGGAAAGAAAATGAAAGAATGCAATGCTGTAAGCGTTAGTTAGCAAGCGATTACGAAAAAGAAAGGACAGCATAGCTGCGACGTACCGTATTTTAGTTAATAGTGCTGTGGTCGTGAGACAGGGTAGGTGTCAGCAACAAATCTGTAAACACATGTCTTTGTCACTGCCACCACTGTGCACTTTTCCTTTTTTCGTTTAACAATGTCTTTTCCACAAAATTCTCATGCGCTAGGTGGTACCAATTAATCGTATTCGTGATAGGCACCGAAAGTTTACTGATACACAATATCGCTCACCATTCGTCAAGAAAGTCACCAGACCCCACCGGAATTTACCGATATTCGCTCGCATCGCCTTATCTTGGTTCAAAGTGGATTCTGAATCTAAGGGCAACGAACCTTTCTCAATTTGTGCTTATGGTAAGATTATCAGTGTGTTTATTCATTGGTAATCTAATGCTCTACAGTATCCAAACGGACACTTCTACAGGGTGTCCCAAAAAATGTGAACACTGTTTGATTGTCAATAGCTCTCTTGTTTTCACCAAGCTTGAGGTACCATCCTGTAAAGCGAGGTTCACCTTTGAGTTGAAATATGGAACGCTCCGATATTTCTTGGTTACTGTAGGATTACGGTATAAACTTCCAGCAAATAGCGCCGCTGTAGTGGCCTTCTAAAGAAATTCCAAAAAATTTTTCAGGCGTGCTGGTTCCACTACATAAATTTCCAGTTTTTCGAGCTTTTCTGATGGTGAAATCACACTTTTGAGAACATTGAAAGAACGGTCGCTCCCTAAACTGTGATAGCTTATAAAAGAAGCATTACAGTGAAGTGCAACTTTCATACTCAGAATCAGCGACTCTAATTAGTCCAGTATGAAAGTTTTTGACTTGTTTGGTTTTCCTTTCAAAGGCAGTGGCTCGGCAAATCCTCGACCTCTGGGTTTTTTGCTTATCTGTGGTAACTCGACGCGCTGATTCCGTAAATCCACTTTTTAGAGCGCGAAAATGGCGAAAACCAGCATTTCCCAAACTCCTCATTTGGACGGGTGTAATCTTCCTGCCATGGTTAGAGACGCAGAGTCGTTGTGGGATCCCCATGTTTATAGCATTGCGGCATGCAGCCTCTGACGGCGTGAGGGATATCGCAAGCTCGTCCGAGTGCGTGTAAGAATGGCTTGCGCGCACGGGTTTAGGGGCAATTTCCCATTCAGGGGTTGCATGTTGTGCGCTGGGAGCTGCTCCGTTCTCATGTTCAGGCTACAAGCAACCTTCCATATAAAAATTACGAGATGTTCAGTTTTGCCGAGCCACTTGCCTTTAAGGCCAAAGTCGCTTTCAATTTCCTAAAATCCTTCTCGAAGTACCTACCGCTATCCTACAATGATGAAGAGTGATTGATGATTCGCTCCATACTGTAAATCTAAGTTGAACCTCGCGCTACCGAAGGGCACCTCAAGTTCGGCGAAAGACGTGAAAGCAAGAGAGTTTCTAGGATCAGACAGTGTTCACATTTTTTGGGACACCCTGCATATATTAGAAGGTGCACCTCCCGAGTTGTGTCGTAGTGTGCTTTTGAGTTCAGAATTCGTCCGCTCAGAACCAAAATATGGCAATGGAATTTTGGTGAACTTCGGTAGAAGTCGGCGACTTTCCTGACGTTTCAAGTGATGTGGTAAATGATTAATCACCATTATCAGCTGCACTGTTTTTGGGTGGGTACAACAAGTTTTTGCGAAAAGTTTAGATTTTCTTTTTTACTTCGGATTTCTCTCAACCCAGAGGATGTTCGATATTAGCCCAGAAGCTGCATAGTGGAGGATTGGGTAGCCAAAGAAGAAGCTCTTTAAGAATGGTTAGAGGATTTTAAGAAGCCCACATGAGCTACAAACTTTCAAATAGCTCGTCGTTGCTTTTAATCCAATTTTTCAATAACTTCGCAAGAAAGAAGTATTTTTACTAGTAGCTGCCACGACTCCTTTTTTAATGTCTCAGAGATGGCTTGTGAGAAAGTGGCATGCTTCCCAAAAATTCACTGGGGTTTTGTCCTCCCTCCCTCCCCCCTCCCTCCAACCGCCAAAAAAATTTCTGACCGCCATCTCGACAAAATGTAAAAATCGAATATTTACTTTAGACTTATTGGTCCATGCCTTCGCAAAAACTTTATTTCTTAACATAGAGCAAGACTTAAGCTTATCACTTTATCAAAGCCCAATCATCTTCACTTGTAGCAAAGCAAATTACAAAAGAGCTTCTCCTGATAAAATTGCACTTCCACTTTCTCAAATATCATTACAATCAAACGTTCGACATCCACTCAAAAAAGAAATTTCTGACGGGATTATCATACCTAAAGCTAGCATGTTTTTTTCTATCATCCTTTCTAAAGGCAAGTTATCAGAAGTTGATTCATTTCCGATTCCCTATAAAATATCTCATTATTTGAAAAATGCCACCCGTGTGCTCGCAGCCAAAGCGATAGGTTAATGCTAGAGAAGAAGCCCAACCCAGAAGTTTGCAGCAAAACTCACTTGTCTTTCTTAGCAAACACTAATCCCATATCGATCAGGTAGAGCAATCCGCCCAAAAAGTAAAATGCCTAAACTATGCCTTTTGAGCCATTTCTCCAGGAATCAGCAAACTCACCGCAGCAACGGCCCAGCCCTTGACGACGAATTGAATTTGACAGCCAGGTAATCCAGCGCAGCCAGAGACCACACCATTACCAATAGCCTAAATTCTCCGAAATCAAAAATCAGACAGGTGATGATGGAACTTATGTTATTCGTAGTACGTACCATGATGAAGAATGACATGTGATCGAATCCTGTTGCGTACCATGTCTCCACCCCTCCACAGACGAGAAATGCTATCAAAGCTAGCCCAGACGTGAATAATTGCTGTAAGGTATCAATGACAGTAATTATGGCAGAATGAACAAATGTGAAAATCATTACACTATTTCGAGAATTTATATACAACTTGCTGTTTTAAAATATAGAAGTAGCACGTAAAATGGAGTTTGGCAAAAAAAAAACAAATTTTTTAACCATATAATGATTTTTTACTGTTTCGTCCCAAAAAGTCGGTGTCATAGATAAAACTGACGAAAATCTATCAGCGCATTACTGCAATAAAAACAAGACTGACCAATAGCGTTGCTCTTGAAGCACGTTTGGGTCATATTTCTTCAGCCTTTTTTTAAGGATTCTAGTTATTTTAGTACACCCCTTTGAAACCCAATGCTCATTTTGAAGACTAAAAATGCCGTAAAGTTGAATTCTTCCCTTTCTATTCTATTATCTTTTTCTTTTTTTCATCCTGAATTCTCCTGCTCTCATAACCTTCAGCTGCGGAATTGGTCAACTGATAGATAATGGATTTTAAAGAGCGCTTGAAAAAAATGTACCCATCGACGGACTACCATTCGCGTTCATGTTGTATCAGCTGGTTTTATCCATGGTAGTGACCGCACAAAGGATTTCACCACAGAGTATTTATTTAATGATAGCTTAGCCATGTTTTCGCTCTATGCAGCAGCATCGCGATGGACGAGTTAGTAAATTATGTTGCCCAACAGATAATCTTCAGTGCGGGCGATTACTCAATATCCGGTTCATGGCTCGTACGTCACGGCCATTCGGCACTAGTTGAACAACACAATAGGATGCGGCACCACCAAAACATTCATAAGTCCGCGAGTTGTTTAGAATGGACAAACGGATGCGAAAATCAGTTCCATTGATGCGAAACTCTTTCTACTGACAAATTCCCATCTTTTTGCAAAATGCAAGCAGGGCTCGGTATGAAGTGCATATGAAATTTTCAAGAGTGAAGTTTTCTACAACAGTGTAAAAAATTTTGATGAGTTGGTAAATGTTCGCTCCATAACAATCTGCGCGAAAAATGGAGGTACGTGAGAGAAGAGAATATGGAAAGTTGGGGGATGCTAGCGAGGTAAAAGGGGTGTATGTCAGAGGCCGATTTTTATTGCCAGATGACTTCAAATAGCGCCTGATAAGTGTTTAATAACATTCTAAAGTGTTAGAATTTTAGAGGGAGACATATTAGATAGTTGCATAGGCTGCTCAATCTTGTTACTTTAGAGTTAATTCAAAACAGCAATCTCGAAGGTAAAAGACCTATAATGTAGTTATAGACAAATTTTCAAATATCGGACCGTTTTCTAGCAAAAGCGTCCAAGCTCAGCAAGCGGTAATCTCAGACAATTAGTAAGCCCATCCACTTCATCTGGCACTTTTTGGACACACGCAGCATTAGCACTGAACTGGAGTTCTTAATTGGTGACTGCCGGAAAAATCGCGCCTCTGGACCGTCTCCCAGATAAAAGGTAGTCTATATACCAGAACCATAGCGCAGAGGAACTTGGAGTTAGGGCGGTTGGATACTAGTAGTCAGGGCTCAATATGAACTATATGTTTATGCAAACAATAAAAAAATTAGTTAAAGAGTAGGAAAAATCGAGTCTTTGCTTTTTGCCACCTTAGACGTTAAGGTAACATCGTAACCTTTGTTTGCGCTAAGACCTTCATTAGCAAAAGTTTTATTGATTTTTTCTACACTTGGTTCAAGGACTCTCTTAGTTCAGAGGAGTTCAGAGGTTCATTTTCACTGTAATAATCCTAGACCAGCTTGCCCATGATCTATGCCTAGCCCTGAGTGGAGAAACTCTGGGTTGTGTTCCAGTACAAACCTTACAACCCTAACCTCCTCTCACCTCCCCACTCCCCCCCCCCCCTTCTCCAGTTTGACAGATTACCAGCTGTTCACCGAACGATTATAGAATCTACAAGTGCAGCGGCACTCCCCAATCATTGTCTCTGATCTGTTCGATCAGAGAGAGTACATGCCATAAGTGGCTTAGTCCATATCTCTTTTATTAGGATTTGGTGACCAAACTGCACACTCATAAAGCATTTGCACCTGACTACAGTAAGACAAAAAGGTAGGTAGCAATTACGGTAGCTTAGGTTGAAACTTCCGCTCGATCACCACTTAGGCTTTACAATCCGCATAGTTTATCACTGGGGTTCAAAAAGAAAGCAGTAGGATTGTTCACTTTAGTAAATAGCAGTAGGATTGTTCACCCAGTAAAGTTTAGTGATGTCTCAAAAATTGGAAATCAGCTTCTACCCCCTCTGCAAGTCTGGCAGCCTAACATAATCGTATTCCATAAACCTGTAGTCACAATCAAAAATTCCCATAAGCGCTTTACAGCCAAGTACATTTGCTAGGCTTTCAAAAAACCGGAATTTTGCTTCGTCGACAGCATCGAATTTAGATGCGAAAAAATCTGCAAAATTTTGCATAAACTGTCGCAATGCATATTTCGCACATAATTCCCATACTCCGACGAAATACGACCGAGTTTGGTATATAGCCGAATGCTGATTTGCTTTCAAGAGCTTTTTGATCTAGACCAAAAATTTTCCTAATGTTTGCAGATAGCAAAAAGAGATACATATTGATTGTTTATCTGCAATATACTAGTAGACAATTTTTTATGTGAGGAAATGGCACTTTGAGTGATTCTGATTTTTATTGCTTACAATCCGACGTAATTTCCACAGGTTGTGATGTATGACTACAAACAAAGAGACTGGGGAAGGAAAAATTGCTTACATGATTTAACAGCGAGCTTCGCTAATCTCGTGATGTTTAACTTTTAGATTTCACAAATTACGCCCACAATTGCTCAGTTTCATGAGTGAAAGTAATTAAAGTACACTTTTTTGAAAAGGACCTGTTCAGATACGGTAAGACCAAAACTTTTATACTCAAACACAATTAATTTCAAAATTTTGCTCAATTTTTTTTTTCAAAAGTCTCTCTTCGCCGAGTTTTCAGTCTTGCTCAGTACCTGTACATAAAACCACAACAATCTTCAATGGATTAACTTACCGCGTATGTCAGGTTGTGACCGATGGCCAAGTGCACACAGCTCATCCCTACAGTAACTAATGCGAGAAAAAGTGTGATGACGATCAGAGCCACTTGTCCATAAACGCTAAAAGAGCAATCATCAGTAACTTCATTTGAAAAATATCGTCATAAAAATTTCATGTTGATGTGTAGAAAGTTTAAAAAGGAGGACATTACTTGACCGCCCATAGCTCTCTCCAAAACATAAAAAATTGGGCCTTGAGTTTTTACTGCGAATTCGTCATACGCAAAAAGCATATGCAAAACGTTTCAAAAACAATTTTTTAAAAGAAAAACAGTGTGAATCAGACCTAACCAAAGATTCAAATTTCATCATTAGGGGAGTTGCGACCAGTAGAAAAAAAGCGATCGCAAGCAGGACTTGCTCAGTTAGCAAATCTAAGCAGTAATTATCATTCAAAAAGGGAAGTTCTAAAACTTGGGCCAAATTTTGGTGCGTCATTTCCGTGTAAAGTTTGTCTCTTCAGAGTTTTGTACGAAATGGTTCCTCTTCGGGATGGCTTGCAGAAAGCGCAGTGAAGGAGCTATTAAGCCCGCATTTCATGAACAGCCTTCATTTTTACGACTGATATCACAGCCTTCATCCACCACGATCAGCTGAAGTCCATCTGTGCAAATGAATGAGGTTGTTTGTATCGATTACGCCTGGTCCAACCAATTATAGAAGTGGTTCGAAATAAATCAGTTTCCCACAAAGGCATAAAAATATTTTTTTGTTTGATTTTATTTATTTATGAAGACACTCGAGTGCACCGAAAAAAGAACTCAGAAAAAAATTCGAACAAGAGTAGTGCGAATTTTATAGCATTTTTTATCCCTGCAAATATTCTCAGGATACCCATCCATGCAAAGAGATTTTCTTTGCTGTAATAAATCACAGCTCATTCTTAAGTGCTCAACCTTGAGCAAGTACATAATACTAACCAAGGAGTTTCTATATCGCGTGACTGCGTGAGATCTTGGAAATTGTGGACGGTTCAAGAGTTTGATGGCGAAATTGTTGAGAGGATCGGAAACCATTCAAACAGCAATTGTTTGAACACTTGAAATTAAGAAAGAAAGTGAAGAGTGTGGAAGTTGTTGTCATGCAGCCATCCGGTTACAAGAAACTTATTTTCAAGAGAGATGTTCCGTGTGAGATTTGACGGAAGTTCAGGGAAAGGATATGATAGAGAATTTTTTCAAGCCATAAACAACTCACTTTTCTCCTCTTCCTTGGAAATGCAATGCATTGCTCCATCGATCAGCGTTCATCGGGAAGATACTGTTTTGACCTATAATAAAGATGTAAGTCATTACAGTGTAGCGATAATTTATGATGGGTCTTTGGCCAGAATTGGAAAATATCTGAATCATCCAAAATTAGTAGTTTACCTGGGCATATCTCTCTGCTTATCGGTTGACCATTGAGATACCGAGAAAAGCATGCGCCGGGGGCAACGAGGATTAGAATCATTGCCACTATCGCCAGACACTGAACGATTTACTCTGACATAATTTCTCCTATTAAGATTCGTCAAGTCAAAATACTCTGTCTAGCCTTATGCAAATGAAAACCCCCGCAAACTTCTATAATAAATATGGAGGGTCATCATTGACTATTCAGGAGTCTGGTCTCCTCAATGTTACTTATTTAAATTATTTTGTACCTCCACATTTTCTGCACCAAATAAAACAATCATGAACAAGCAAACAAGTTTGTATTTCTAACACTCAAGTGTTACGTCTGTCCAAACATTTCGAAAAAAATCGCAGTCAAAGCAAAAGTGCATCACGGTCAAGTACAGGATTGAAGCATAACATGTTTAAAAGATTTCCGATTCCGATTTTTTTGCATTTATTCACGCATTAGTCTGACCAGAAAAGTGCTTTCAGTTCAAGTGGCCTTTGATTTTCCACAACAATCTGTAGAGCTTGAACGAAGTTGATCCAAATTTGTTTTTGCTACCTGTGGAGCTCCTCTAAACGCTGGGTCGTAAGCATTTTGAAAGAAATATAAATGCAGGGTCTGGGAATAAATCATTGCGGTCCTTCACGCTCAATAAAGGAGGAAATAATTAGAAAAAAGTATCCATAGCATAAAGTTCTCTGATATCCGACATTAGCTAATTTGGACGTTTCTGGATGATTTAACTTTTCGACCCACAAGCGCTCATAACGCGAGATCCGGAGGCACAGCAGAGACCAAAAACAAATCTGGATTCAGCGTTCAATGCTCTTTATAATGATGTAGATCTCAAAAAGAGCACTTCGAACAAAAACACTTCCCTTGCGAGAGGCTAAAGTCCATTTCCTTTGAAACTACTGTGCCAAATCTTACCAAAATAAATAGACGAATGATAAATGACACGCCAGCAAGGGCTCTTGGAGACACCATCGTTCAAATGACTTGCAATTGTACAGTATACCAGTTGTCTAAAAGTGAGAACTTTGAAGACATTTTGGTAGAGGCAGCAATTTGAAGGAGTAGTTCAGATGGAAGAGGTAAAAGAACAAAGCTTCGTGCAGGTGACAAAATGTTCAGGGACTACAGCAAAATGTCAAATGAAGTACAAAACATGAGATCGGCAGCCATGAATAGACCCAGCTGGGCTCGATACTAATCAATGGATGAAATGAATTCGCAACGCCTGGCATCGATGTGGATGCATAGGGACACGACGAGAGCGGTTACGAGTTCGACACCACAGCGATGATGGCGATGATGCGCGGCAAACAGTATTATGTAAAATCGACCGGATGTGCGCATTCACGCTTTTTCACTCGGGGGGCTGATGTCCCTCCCCCGGCCATAGAGACGAGCGAGGAAGTTCGCCGAACAAAAGCAATCCCCATGTGCACTGATGCAGAGCAAAAACCGCGCACTGTCGGAATATTGCGAATTGGGGCTGCTCGGCGATCGGTGACTGTGATGTGGGATGTTTATCGAGGATTTCGATCATAATCCCGTTGAGGCAAGTGGAAAAGGCGATTCGCACTGTGGGCATACGGATGTGTACAAGTGACTTTGTTTTCCAGCTGAGGTGGCTGATCCACAAACATTCAGAAAAGACAAAAAAAATCGTTTGCAAGTATAGAGAGATTTGAAAAAATGCTCATAGTGCATCGCCCAACTAAACAAAAGATTGGGGCATTTTTAGCTAATTTTAAACTTTCAGCTTCAATATTTGATTAAGTAAAAGATTACAATCTACAACTCTTGGATAAACTACTAGCTTACATTCAAAGAAGCAAAGCTCCATAACAAACTTCAGAGTGTTTTCGACTTATCAAGGGTGGAATGCCCACATGTTTGGGAGAAGACAATGCTTGACAATCTCCAGAGCTTTCGCAGCTCTGGATCCCAACAAAAGACTTCATGGCATGAGGTTAGATTAGAGAAGTTCTGGAACTTTGCATGATGATGACAGAGTCGGAAAAAATATGGATGCAAAAAAGAATTTCACAATATTCAATCACAGCGCTTTCAGCACCGTTTTGAAGAGTAGCTTCAACGTGATTTATCAAAAAATAACTGATTATGTCTGATTTCAAAATTCTTGAGAGGACATAATTTTCAAAGGAAAGTACGTAACAGATGACTACCGATAATAGCCTATACGTATTGAGTTCTAGCATATCATTACAGCCTTTGCTCGTAAAAAAGCGGTTTTTCACGGAAGATGACTATACTATAAGCACAAATGATAAATAATAAATTTATCAACACACAAAGAGTTTGCAGCTACAGAGGTGAAAGATGCGCTGCGCAAATCGCCATCAGGAGCTTCATACAATTTCCCACGACTTTCTTGCTTAGAAATAAACCGACTTGACAATAAATAGCTGTTACATCTCAAACTTTTATTCACACAGACCACAGTAGATTGTACTAAGCTCCTGAAAAAGGCAAGTGTTGCTACTCATGCACATTGGTATATGAAGAGCATATTCAGTACGAACACTTCAACAATAGATGAGTCATTATAAAAGAGACACGTACTTGTTTTGTTTGACTGAATGCTTTGTTTTCAGGAATTTTCGCACTAAAGGCAAATGCACAGAACGTCGAAACATCAGTTTGCGGTAGATGCATGAGTCAAAACTAAAAGTCGACACCCTTCAATTCGTGCACTAGAGAAATGGCGATAATATGGGTTTGCGCAACTGCTCTGAATATGCATGACAAGTCAACATTGCACAGGAAACCTCCTCAACGTCATTATAAGTGAACTCGGTTCATAGAACGAGTGCCATTCAAAGTGTTCAACTTCTACTTCACCTGCAAATATTGGCAATAGAGAAAAGAAAAATTTCGTTTGCTCATTATGAAAAGATGACGCGATGGTCCACAAAGAAAGAACAACGAACAAAACCGTCGTCAAATTTTGATGTAACTCTGTGGAACTCACGTGGGTTTTTCAAACTCACCCCAGACCTTATTGGAGGCAACATAGAGATAAAAAAGTGCAGATGGCTTATGCATTTTTGAAATTCTGGATTAGGCAAATTCAGTCTCGCCAAAAAAGCAATGTCCTGAACTGATTTCACCGCTACAAAGTGCAGTTTGTAGACAAACACAGTTACCAATACTGCTAGTTGATGATTAGCAGATTATCAGGCGCATGAAAGTCACCAACTCTACAGTAGCTGATGGTCAGCAGATGGTAAATGTGTAAATATGAAATATAGATTTATAATATGGAATAATAATAAATGTGTACGAGCTTTGCTGACAGACCGGATGAACAATGCTCTATTTGCAGTATATGCAAACACATGAATGAAGTGATGAGCTGCGATGTGTTCAGACTTTTGTTAATTTTTATGCAACCAAGGCAGTGCGAATTTGACAAAAGGCTTTTCATAGTTTACTGCGGAGATACTCGCATGCATGTTTCCGTTTTCAAGCAGTCTAAGGTGAAGACCATGCAGCGGAGGTTCCCCATTTTCAACGTCTACCTTTGTGATATCAAACAAATCCTGCGGAACCTCTGCAGATTTTTCTCGTCCTGCGGAATTCCCGTTGAATTGTCTGCGTGAATATCCGTCTATTCCTGTCAAGTAGGCAGGTCTCGAATGATTATCCAGCTGCTTTGCCAATTAAGGTCTGTATCGTTGTGAATTTTTGGTTATGTTGTATGACGTATTATCCAAACGTCGGGTAAATAGGTTGACAAGGGAAGGGTAACTGGTGAAAAAGACCTTCAATATAAAACGTGTTTTTCGAGACGGACTCCAAGGACTTCTCGTCTGTATAATATTCCAAAATTGAGCATTTTGCCATAATGATTTATACAATCTTGAATATTGTGCCATGGATGTTGTTAGATTAACCATTTACGAATAAAAAACACTATCCCAACTCACTAAAAATCATATTAAGCTCAGACAAACTGCTTCAGAACGTTTTAGTCTGAAGAAGCTTGTTTTGGCTTCTCTGACTGTAGAAAAGGCAACGATCTCACTAAGTTTTCTTTTGTTAGAATTTCTGAAACGAACTTTTCTGTTCCTGTTCTATGAAGGAAGTGAACACACCCATAGCTGAAAACAAAATAATCTTAAGTGGCACTGCGCCCAAACCTCTTATGCGCTGATTCAGTTCTGTTGAAAAACTTTCACTCGCAAACATGAATCAAACATACACATACGCTAGTACGCCAATCCCTGCAGCATCGCTGCCGATGCGCTAATGCAGAAAATTTACATACAAGAATGGAACTGATGAATTTTCCCGTGCGATCCAGTTAGATAGCTTATAGCAAACAGCTCGGCAGAAGTTGTGCTGTGATAAACTCAAGACATACAATTTGCAGAGATCACTATTCTCTGATGCAAAGTTGTTTGTGATTGGAACCCCTCACTGTGTAAATTGCAGTTCTCAATTCTTTAGCCACCCAGAGGATTTCGCACTAGTTGTGACTTTTGTTAAAGATAACGTTCTGCCCAAATTGAAAGTGATATCTTGATGCTATATTGTAGCGGGACCCCTAAAAAGCAGACGCCCACTTCTCACCGCAGAAGATGAATATCAAAGCGAGTAAAAGCTCCAAGAGTTAGCAGGGATTATGTTGGCTCCGCCCAGCAACCTGTGTGTTCCGAGATTATCGAATTTGCATATGTTCTGTCTGTCTTAAAGCCCATTTGCGTGTACTTATCTTCAGATCACCCCGTTGTTGGGCGGAGTCAGCTAGCCGCTTCTACATTCTAGAACGGTTTTCTCGCTTTGGAATTCATCTTCTGCAGCGAAACTCGGGCGACTGCTTAGTTAAGGATCCCGCTATCATATAGCATCAAACTTTTATCAGCCTCAATACAGGTGGAATGTGGCTTCATAGATCCGTCGCTTTTCATTTTGTAGCCGCTAGAACCAACTCTACCAATCGAGTGTTCAATGGAGTTAAATCTAGGAAACCAAAGCCCAAGCTTCGGTCTTTGTCAAACAGGGCCCGGCACAGATTGTCTAGAAGCAGGCTGGACTTCGTTTTTGGAGCAAAAAGCAAAGGAGATATCGTTTTTGACGATTCGGGGCCCAGCACCAAGAATAAGCGCCATTTAGTCGAATAAAAGCTTTTCAGACAGGTTATCACATGATTGACATGCTCTATCGTGTATGGCGAAAAGTGCGCGCAATTTGAAAGCAAGGCTAAAATAAACAAATTGCTTGTTTACAGTGCACACAAAGTCATATGACACCAAAATTGTACTGTATACATTAAAAATTATTTGCAAAAGAATTATGTAAAAAGGTTTGAAAACTTATGTGAAGTAATACGTTTTTCAAAATTAGATCGTCTCCAGACGGCCACCAGACGATCTGAGATCGTCTGGGGCATATATTTCTGTCACTTCACATAAGTTTTGTATTTTTATATCATGGACGGATTCCCCGGTCAAGAATCTACCCCTGAGCATGAAAACATTTTCATATCGTTGACTTTTGTTTTTTGCATTAATTTTCTCATATATCGCTTTGTAAAATATCGCGCTCCAATCCCAAACTCCTGTGCATGCGTAGTACTCAGCTCCAAATTGGATTTTCACTCTTATCCTAAGTTTTATCTTTCAGACTAGTAACTATTTCTTGTTTTCATCTTCTCCTAAGCAAATAGGTCAAAGGGGACTTCGTGAAACTTCCGAAAGTCATGGAAGACTTCGTTTTCAGAAACGCTAGAAACCGACTCGTGCCGGGCCCTGTTGTCAAAGCATCCATAATTGTTACGTTATTCAAATACCAATGTGGGAATTCCTGTGGAAGCAACCTCGTCTAGCAAACAACATTGCTACTGCATACGGAGATAAATAGATAGGATATTAGAAGGACATTCAGGTAAAAGTGACTCAGAAAATAACTGCTAACAAAGAATTGAAATAACGGTTTTCGACAGCATTTGAAAAGTTTGAGAATTTAGAGTAAAAACACGACACCGACTGCAATGCCTTCTTCTTTTCCCACAAGAGACCTAGAAGTTCAAGAATCAGCCAAAGACAGCAGAGTTTCCTATGCCGAAATCAAGAATATCAAGTTAGAGCATTGATTCGAGACAATGATGGAAACGGACTTTGTATGAGAGAAATGCCTTCGGCAACAACTCTTAGAGTGATGGTATTTGCTGTTCTGCTTAACATAAATGACGCGGGAAGGTGTAATCATACTGCTCCGATCCCGTAATCCGAGCAACAGAACAGAAAACTGGAATCTTCAGTGATCAAGTGTCGGTGATCCTCTGATCACCGACGGGCCTCTAAGGGTTAGAATTCCCACACTCTGTCAACATAGTTGAGCCAGAGCTAGGTTTAGGAGAGCTGATGATTTGTGGAAGAAACACTCACTTGAAGCGTACGCCCTAAGCATAAATGGGGAAAGAGTGATTGCTTTGTAGTCCAGAGTTTTACTTGATATTCTGCATAGAGAGCAAGTCTCGCTCGATGCTCGCCAGGAACAGGTTCCACGATCAACGAGGCATAACGCCGACTCATTCGACAAACGTGCTATCGACAATACTCGCAAAAATTCCAACGGGGGATTACGTCGTTGTTCGGAGTATGAGAAGGCTGTTTCGAATTTTTCTGACGGAACTGAGTCAATAGGGTGTCGCTAACACTTCTAGACGATTAGCAACATTTTTTGCATGATACACGACAGACTGTTCGTAAGTCTATAAAACTCACAAAGTCTTTTGTTTTTTTTTGCATTCGCAAAATCGTTGCATAGCCTTTACAGTCTTATAATAGTACAAGCCAAAGCTAAAGATGCACATACTATTACAAAGCTTGGTGGAAAAGGTCGTTGGGTTTTGTAATGCATGCCGCTCTCGGATAGAGAGTCATCAAACGTAATTTTCCATTCATACCTTAGCTATAGCAGAAGAAACTCTTATTATTTCGCCACCAAGCTGATAATACTGTTGATGTGATCTGTTCCATACAGTACGGCTCTTATTTTAAGAAATAACCGAAATTAACCGCTGCCGCAGATTTGGTTAGGCAGGCGCTATACTCCTCGAGGAGTATAGCATGGCGACGACCGATATGCATCAAATACGTGTAAAGCCGGCGATTTTTGTCGCCGATATTGTCGATCGGCAGTCGCTAAGACTGGCGATTGCCAGTCGCCAGTGTTGCCGACAACACATTAAAGGCAGTGTCTCACCAAAGTTGAGGTCGGGCGGATCTTCACATATTCTGTAATAGGGAGCTCTAAATAGGCCAGTGCAACAGGTCCCACTCAATTTGACCCTCTCCACGCTGAGAAAAATTCGCTCAAAATGGTACGCGGAGAGCGAGTTGGTACGCGCGGACGACTCCTTCGATCTCCCCCTTTACGCGTTTGAACATGTCCCTCCACTTGGCATCCACCTCCCCTCTGCTGCTGCCACTGTGGTTGAGGCTGAAGTTGGAAGGCACAACTCGTCCACGTTGCTTCCGCGGGGCCTCCAGAAAACGGGGTTTTTGGGAACCTCGTGCGATTCTAAGCCCATACAGTGCTAGACAGGGTCCGACAGGCCTGCAAAATGCAAAAATCTCAGCAACTAAATTTTGGTGAGACACTGCCTTTAAATGTGTATCGATTGGACGTGTGATAACTTGTTAGCTCGATACGCATAGAAGACACAGTCGCCAGTATTGGCGACTGGCGATCGCCCGTCGCCATGCTATACTCCTCGAGGAGTATAGCGCCTGCCTTAGGGCAGATCATTCAATATGCAAATCCGCCAATCTGGCTGCCTATCGTGCTGCTACCGTAACCAAACAAGCACTTCCATATGTCAGAAGGTGAGCATCGTCGAGATGAACCGAGTGATTCGGATTCAGATTTCGCACAATAACATTTGAGTGCGACACGAAGTTTGGAGAACCCTAGTGTCGCCGCGGTCATTTTTCACAAATTACGAGCGGTATTGTAGTATTTAGCATGCAACCGTCCTTTTTATAAAGTCACTTTTGTGTTTTTGTTGTCCCATAGTGATTCTGTAACCATGATAAACCCTTGACCTCGGCTCCAGTGCAGATCCAAAAAGTGATGCAATTACACCAGGTAACTGGAATGCAGAGACTGTAGTATATCGTGACGTACTGTAGGTAGAGATGGTTTTGGTATACGAGTACAGGTTATATAATCTGTTAAGATGTGACTGGCTCATGAGGGAACAACAAGCTTTTCTTGGCCAACATGGGTAATAATGAACCTCCCACAGCCACCAAGGAAGTGCCTACGATGGGCAGAAACTTCTCATCTCAGTTGGATTTGATTCTTCGAAAATACTGCATCATCATTAGCTCTGGAAGGAGATTTTTTTTTGCAAAAAACAGATTTTGCGCGTTCACGGTAGTTCTGGGTATCAGCATCGTCTTGATTAACACTTCACTGAGAGCAACTAATGACGCAGCTTGTACTTTTTCGAAACACGATCAAAGTGCCTCATATGTCCAGCATAAGACATCTTGTGGAATACTTCCAAGTGAATATGTTTCACTGCGAGCTTGTTGTACAAGCTCTGATTGTCTCCAATGTCATGCTCTTAAACTCAATTCACTACAAATCGTTGACGTTTTAATCGTATTCTATACAAATTATACCTAACGAAAACGGTTCATCCAACTGATGTACCGGGAATGTGAGACTCACATATGCAAAACACATACGGCTGAAGAAAGCGGAAAATGGTAATAGAAAACAACGAAAACTATAAACAGATATAATGAATGCCTCAAAATAAATAAGATTATCAAATATCTAGCAAGTCGTGATGATGAATAAAAAGTGGGAGATGGCAGTATCAAACAATATGAATGAACAAAAATTATGCAGAAGCGATTAGGGTTAAGCCGATATGAATAGAATTCTAGACTATCAAAGGAAATTCAGTCATTACTCTAGCGATGTCAGCATCAGCAATTGTTTGAGCACCTTTGTTTGACTTGTTTCACGAATTTCACCAGCAAGGAACATTTCGTCGACAACGGAGTACACCTGAAAAAATTCATTACAAACCCTTTGCGGAAGAAAATTCGCAGAGCTGGGAAGTACGACAATTGCATCTGCATTACCCTAATGCGACCTCCTCAGTGAAGAGTAGGTGATATAGAATTAGATTAAGAAGACTTTCGCAGAGGGACCCCCCAGAGTATGATTTCTGCAGAATTCACGTAAATTTGATTAAAAGTTGGTTTTCAAAGTTCCACGGCTTGAAAAAATGTGCAAATCTCACTTCATCTGTGACTGTCCTATCTTTGAGCCCGTTCGAATTATTAGGTTGTAACAGTAACATAATTCTTGAGACACCCCCACTTCTTAAGGCAATAAGTCCGTTCGCATTTTTGATAGGGGTCAAGGATACCATTCGATAGAACAAAGCAAGCTCTACAAGACTTGGTGCAAAAGTTCGCACCAACTTCGACCAACTGTAAGTTTGCATCCGAAACATGAGTCATACTGAAGGCTCAAAAAATCGCGAAAAATTCATATTTTTGTTCAAAATCCTCGAATCTCCAAACTTGAACATAAAAACTGCACACTTCATCAGAAAACTCATATGTACTGTTCCTAGATTTTTCCTCGTTTAAAAATCGAGAAAACGAAAATTTCATGTTTATACAAAAACGAAACTATGCTGTTTTCACTCATGTAATTGTATACTACAAGCCCTTAAGAGTATAACCGAAGATTTTTACTTTTCCACAGCCCCTAGTTTTCAAAAATTACCGAATTTAGCTCTCCTCTCTCGGGTGGGTGTTCCATGCTAATCAATATTTCTCGAAAACTACGGCTTGTAGAAGCTTAAAATATACGTTTATACTCCTAAAAGCTTGTAGTATACAAGTACATGAGTGAAAACAACATAGCTCCGTTTTTGTATAAGCATGAAAATTTTCGTTTTCTCGATTTCTAAATGAAAAGAAAAATCCACAAACGATACCTATGAATGTCTGATGTAGTGTGCAAATTTTATGAGCAAGTTGGAGATTCGTAGGACTCTTCTGAATAAAGATATGAATTTTTCGCGATTTTTGAGCATAGAGTACAATGCAGTTCTAAGTGCAAACCTACGGTGAGTCGGGTGCGAATTTCTAACCATCTTGTACAGCTTGCTTTGCCCTATCAAATGGTATCCTGGATCCCTACTGAAGATATGAGCTTTGTGACTTATCGCCGAATCGGAGTCATCAAGTTTCACAATGTCAGCTTGAGATCATGCTTTGATCAAGTCAAATCTTCTAACAATCTTGATTTTACCTACGCATAGCAGTCAAATGATGTCTATCTTATCTAAATCTCAGTGATCTAATAAATAAATGACCAACAGTCATTCATTCGCTTCGTGAGCTCGGCGCCAACGATATTTGTCAAAAAATTGAAAGTTAAAGAGGGGTTTCAAGATAATGCTATATATATATATATATATATATATATATATATATATATATAAAACCTTACCGGTTCCGTTTTCAGCAAATATATCTCAATATAATACATATACTGACTCGGCTTTCATTTAACGCCTACTACCTCAGGAACGAGTAAGACAGCGTATGCTTACGAGGAAAGAGAACACGAATTGTCTACTGCATAACCCTCGAAAAAAATGACAATGATGATGCTGTATATGTAACAATCACTGTTTCCTACCAATGCTTGTTTAAGATAGACACTGGGAATGCTCTGAACCCTAAGACCAAGATAGACTCAGGGTAATTGAGAAGCGATGGTCGCAGCATTGTCAAGCAAACCACCATATCTTCCAGAGTCGTTTAAGCAAACAAGGATGTACAAGGATGAATAATAAAGGAATGTGCACTCACCTTATAAAAGTTGAAAACCAAATCTAGTTCGCACACATTGTGAAAATATTCATTCAGCACCTATGATAGCATGAGCATGGCAAAATGATAGTGGACCTCAGATTTACACTTACCTCTACAAAATTGTGTATAGCTTCCAGATAATACAGGTTATTGTCCATGATATCGACACAGATACAGAAGTAGAGCCCCGCGTAACGGCGGTAAACAATTTTGAAGTTTCGGAACTAAAATACCCGTTATAAGAAAGCAAGAGCAATCATAAGCAAAAGCAACTAATTGAAGCAACTTACCTCAACAAAATTCGTGTGCTTGGCATCTCGAACTGTTACACAGGCATGAACTTCTTCAATCAACTTCTGCAAGTAGAAAGTGATGCGGCAAGAACGATGAATACAACAGATGAAAGCGCAAAACCATTCCGCTCAAAAAGTTGCTGCAGATTGCCCCATTTTTCTGCTTACTACGGATCAAACCTAGCCAAGGACTTTTATTACACTAGTGAACCAGTAACTGAAGGCGTTAAATTGCATCCGAGCGCTTCTTTTTGAACTGAGCTAATGATTCTTTATATATTAGATATGGGATAAATAGCAAAGCTCATATTTGGTGAACATTCGTCTCAAGACGTGCGAGATCTTCACATAATACAGGGTGTCCCAAATGTGACTGTTTGACCGCTGATAACTCTCCTACTTTCATGTCTTTCACCGAGCGTGAGGTACCATTCTGTAGAGCGAGGTTCATCTTAGATCTACATGGAGCAAATCGTCGATCGCTCTTTATTACTGTAAGATTACAATATAAACTTCCAACATATGGAGATTCACACAGTGACACGAATCTCCGATCTTTCTTTGTTACTGTAGCATTACGATGTAAACTTCCAGCATATGGCCCCACTGTGGAATAGGCCTTTTCATGAAAAAACATCCAAAAACTCCATAAATTTGTGTAGCAAGGTCTTCAGGCGGGCTGATTTCACTACATAACTTTCTATCAGTTTTTCGCGCTTTTTAATGGTGTAATCAGACTTCAAACATTGGAAAAACAGTCGCTATTCTAAAATTGAATTAACTTGTGAAAGAGGCATTACAGTAAAGTGCAACTTTCATATTCAAGATCGGCTCTCAGATTCGTGTGGAGGCGTGTTGCGGACTTCCTGATTTTATTAAAAAGCAAAACGAGAAAGTACGAAAACGATGCTATAACGTGGAAGTTTAACAAGTTTATTCTGAAAGTCAGGGAGGTCCGCAACCCCCCCCCCCCCCCTTCACACGAATCTGGAAGCCGTTGATAAAACCAGCGACTTTGCTTGTCCAGCACAGGAAAAACTGTTAATTTCCCAAAATCCTCTTGAAGTTCCTACCGTTATGCTACAGTAATGAAGAGTGATTGATGATTCGCTCCATACTGTAGATCTAGGTTAAACCGAGGCTCTACATAATACCCCCTCAAGCTCGGCGAAAGACGTGAAAGCAAGGGAGTTATTAGCGATCAGACAGTGTTCACATTTTTAGGATACCCTGTATAGACTACTTATCGTTCCAACAATAAGCATACACAAACCATAGAAAGAAACATGAATACGTACCTGCTTCTCATCGTCATCGAAATGCATATACCATTTGGCAAGACGAGTTTTCCCTGCGCGGTTCTGGATAAGGATGAATCGGATCATCCCAAGTCAGAAAAACTGAAAATTCAGATTATGCACAAGGAAACCACAATTGGAAGTCAATGAAAATTGCTGTAGATGTACATCAAGACCACTCGCGAGAACGATGTTGTATCGATCGCAAAGTGGCAATTTGCCACTCTACGCACCTTTAATAGATTAGAGCGCGATAAGCGCCCTTTCCACCACTGCGTTACTGTTTTCCTGTTGTCGTGAGGCTGATGATACAGTTCCAAAATTAGTGATTTTCTTTCGAACAGGGAGTGAAGGGAATCGATATCGCCATATATGAGGTTACTCTGAGGCCAGGACAACTGGAGCAAGAATGTTCGATGATAGTGACATTTTAGGTGGAAAAACTGTTAATGACCTGGGGTTTTTTCAAAGCTTCCTTCCACTACATTATTGCATCACATCAGTCATGTAAAGAAAATCAAGGTAGACGGAAGCGAGGAATAGAGGGGTTAGTGGCGATGTACGAAATTGCGCGCGCCGATCTGGCAGACTTCTCGATTTCTTAGACGAGTTGCTTCGAAAAGTATTCGGCAAGCTCGAGGGTTGATTAGTGACGGAGGTTAGTATGAATAAAAGGTCCAGACTTGACCAAAATGCTAGAATCTTATACAAAGTGCTGCTGTATAGTCGTAGCTTTCACATCTCATCCACTTTTTGTTGCAGTTACGACGCTCAGCAAGCATACGACCTTGAATACTTTTTTTAAAATAATTTCTCATTCTAAACTTCCGCGCAACAGCTACTTCACAAAAATAGAGATTTCTGAGAGCATGTGTGAAAACTCGCAATATAACTCTCCATACTTTTCCGCGGATTTTATTTTCAAATAGATTCAACAACGGTGCTGTGTGCTAGGAGTTTCTACCGTAATCCTGCAGCAATAAGATCAATCGGTAGTCGAAGCCAGGTCTACGAAAAGTACTTGAATAATGAAACTTGTAGAAAGAGAGATATATTATCAAAATGTGCACATACGAGACACCCTATATAAAGCTCAATGTCTGTGTGCCCGTTTTCCTGTGTCTATGTATCGTCTGTCTCTCAGGCTTAATATCGTACATCCCCAGAATTGTTCCCATATGAATGCCTTTCGATCATTTTAACACGTTAATCCAGCAAATTTGAGGGCTTATTCGAAGTTGACATTTAACACGTTGACGACCTTGTGTATCCGCACGTATGCACGCCCTGACTCCCGTTTAGCATTTTCGTGCATCCGCGCATATGCATGCTAGTTTTTTGGGTGCAAACGAAAAGTTTTGAGGTAACTTCTATGCAGTAATACTATTAGTGGCCTGATTGTCTTACAGAACACAGGGCATCGCGGCAGCTGTGCAGAAGTTTTGGCCGCAAAAATGGGTAATCAGTCCTTTTTTGATGTAGTCAATATACATGCTAATTACGTTTTCTCGAGAAGGTGAAAACTCTGTATAGCTGTTTTGAAATCAAACAAAGATGAATCAGGCAAAAAACATCTGGTTTTACAATGCTTTTCTCGAAGAGCGATTCGCCATTGCATGGATTATTGGAGGGAAAATCGATGCAAAAACCTTGATTTGTGTAAGTCCTGGCAAGGCTCTGTGATATACCTGTATGTCTGAACAAAGTTCGCATGTTTTATTGATAAGTGACAAAAAGACTCCCACATAATGTTTCCGTGCATCCGCGCGTATGCACGGGCCAAATGCGCGAAGGACGTTAGTGGGAGTTTCGCCCAAAATGGCGCGGTCGTCAACGTGTTAAAGTGATCGAAAGAAGCCACATTGATGGTTCTTATAGGAACAATTCCGCGGATGCACCATGCCTTCGCTTGTCTATACGTAGCGGTGGCAGCAAAGCATTTGATACGTATCGATTGCGACGAAATGAAGCTACTGCCTCTCGCTGCACCCGCTAACGCAAAAGGCCCATACCTTACGAATCATTCTTGAGAAGCGCCGCAACTGATTTATAGCGAACTGACGCTTACTACTGTGAGCTTATCTCAGGTGCTTTGAGCTCAATCTGTTTTCGGTCGAAACTATTTTCACCAATTTTCGAGCTGCAACAGCTCCTCAAGGATGAATTTTGTCTTTTTCACACCCAAGTCACGAAAAATTCAAGATTATCATAAAGTACAATTTTTGGAGGCGGATAGGGGAAGTATTGCAGAGTGAACTAAGGGGTATTTGGATTTGAAAAGCTATGAAGTAATTAAAACCAACTACGGATAGGCGAGGAAATTAGGAAGCCACTGGCAATGCTTTCAAATAAGATTTGACCTGCAGCGAACTTTCATCAGGATCACTGCCTAAGAAACCCTAATTCTGCTGGGACATCCATTATCCTGGCTTTCAAAAGTAAGCACTACACTCAAACATACCCTTATATATGTACCAGTGCTTCTCCTCTGCTTCGCAGAGGTTCCAGCGGCCATCATGAAGATAAAATCAAGCGCTGCAGCTTCTCCAGACTTTAAATGAAGCAGTGGCAAGTACCAGGATATTTTATATATGAACTTATTTTGCCTAGTTTACCATTACTTTCTATTGATCCAGGCACGATCCAGTGAAAGTGAGTTTTATCTTTGTGGAACGAATCCAAATCTTTTGCCGTCATCTGTTTCATATCTGCCTTTTTGCAAATATATCAGGCTGTAATAGCAATGCAGGTTTTTCAAATTTTGACTAATAAGCACAAATTTTTACACATGTAATTTCCGTGTGCATTGAAGACTTTGTAATTTACAAAACTTAAACCTGAATTTGGCCTGATCCGGCAACAATAAGCAGGTTCAGTCAGCTATCCAACTCGCAATGAAGCAATAAGATTGAGTAGCAGTTTTTAATTCTTAGTTCTAAAATTTTTCATAGTCCTGATAGCAGGAACAACCTCAAAAAATCATTTTAATAATGTCTTAATATTTAGAGGTCATTTGAAATTCGGATAAAATTCGATTTTAAAGTGATCTCCGCATTTTGATCATTATTTGAAAGTGGATTTTCCTGATTTTGGTCGTATCTGAAATTACAAATTGTGGATAGAGGTCATTCAAAATAAACATTGGTAGAGACCTTGGTTTTATTGACTGTAAGGGCATATCAAAATAAGGAGAGAGGGGAAGGGGAAGCGACTGTTGGATTACGGTCTATGTCCATGTTTCATCCTACTACTTCAAGAATCTGTAAGACCGCACCAAATTTCTGTTTTTTTTGTTGTTGTGATATACGTCCAATTACCGTTTAGACACCGTAACTCCGCTAAATGGACCCGCAGGTATAAATGAATGCCATAATCCCTACCGTAATTTCGCCATATGGCCGAAGCGAAAAACGACACCGTATTCGTAAGCAGCGCGTCGAATAACCCACAGCGCCTAAACTTCACAAAATTTTGAAATTTTTTGTTCAACAGTGCACCACGATACCAAATTCATGCTTGCTAAAACTGCGAGCAAAATGTACACCTTAGGACTTTTTAGGCGCACTTCTTCATCTGCACACTGCTCTTCTTTCTCTAGCCAAACTCAGAGCTAACTCTGAGTTCAGCGGGAGCCTGGAATGCGCACCAAACTCGAGTTAACGAGGACCTCAGCTATGCTTTTCGTCGCGTAGCTTCTTGTGTGGATCGAGTTACGCTATGTCCCCATACTCGGGATAAACTACGTCTTAGGGGTATAATACCATATATCACTCTTCTCTCCAGGTTTGTTCATGCACGTGTTATGGGCCCTGAAAGGTGCGCGTTAACTCGGAGTTAACTCTGAGTTGAGCTGCGCGTTTCAACAGCTTTACTACCGATCCTAATACTGCAATGAGCTTTACAGCCTTATTACATGACAATGGGAAAATGCTCGGTTGAAGCTTAAGCTTTCATTTTCCCACATGCAAGGAAACAAATCAATAAATCGATAGAAGGACCCAGCTAATCGTCGCAAAAAGTAGCCTATCTTTTACTAGCCTATCTTTTACGTCGTGTCTCATGTATAGGAGAGCAAAATTCAGCCTCTTTCATTCACACACAAAGTAGTGTACAAGCTACAAACATTCTAACGAACAAAGTTACAGGTTTGAGTTTTATATATATAGTGACCGCCAAAAAAGTTGCAGACAAGCCGCCTTCCTTTTTTCATCGCTCATTTTCGGATAGAAAACAATGATGAAAAAATGATTGGATTGCATGAGGTGATAGAGTTATTCAAGGGCTACAACCCACACATTGTGCTTTCTAGAAAATATGTATAAGAATTTTAAAAGTCTTTTCCTGAAAAAGTCCGAAAATGGCCGCGTCACAATGTCGCGATTAATTCTTCAAACGCGAAAATTTTCCTATAGGTCTTCGTTTGGAGGAAAAACAGAAGTTTTCTTGAAAGAAAAGCATATTATATTATAGAGCTAATTGAGGACAATAATCAGGTAGTGGTTACTTTCAAAAAAAAACCAAGCTTAAACTTTATTTTGCTTTTTTCCAAAAGATAACATCTAATTATCTTTTTCAAGCCAAATTCCTTCACTCACATGGAAACCTATTCAAAACATCCTAATAGAGCTGTTCAGATAAAATGGATGCTCTCTGCCATCCTCTACGATATGCGTGCTGGTGAGTTCCTTGGCTGAAAATGACTGCATGCACATGACCCCGTCTGCACCTCACCACTGACCTGCATCGCTTTGCAGGCTTGTAGCTCGGCCAGTAGTCACTCTACGAGCCCGCAAGTAGGCTCATTCAAAAGACCGTGATTTCCTTGACGCGATGGTACGCAAATGAGTTGAGTTTGGGAAGACCCGGAAATTTGACGGATGGGGTGAAAAAGCGCAGCCTCAGTAGTAGGCTAAGATTTTTTCAGCTAATGCTAAACAGAGCTTCTTTCGCTACCAGTTTCATCCTAGAGGTTTGAGAATGTAAATCTTCTTGTAATAGATCCATTTCGAAGCTCTAAGACTGTTCTGAGGGTGAGAAGAGCTTTCCCTCCAATCACCTTCAAGGCTGCGCTTCTTCACCCCATCTGTCAAACCTCCGAGATTTTTCTTACTCAACTTATTTGCGCACCATGGTGTCGAGGAAGTTACGCTCTTTCGAATGAGCCTGCTTGCAGGCTCTTAGAGTAACTGCTGGCCGAGCTACAAGCCTGCAAAGCGGTGCAGGTCAGTGGTGAGGTGCAGATGGGGTCATGTGCACGCACTGTCAGGAGTCATTTTCAGCCAAGAAACTCACCAGCACACGTCCGATGCATAGAGTATGGCAAAGCGCATCCATTTTATTTGAACGTTTGTTAGGATGTTTTGAATAGGTTTCCATGTAAAGAAATTTGGCTTGAAAGAGTAATTAGAAGTTATATTTAGGAAAAAAGCAAAATAAAGTTTAAGCTTGGTTTTTTGAAAGTAACCACTACCTGATTATTGTCCTCATTAGCTCTATAATATAGTATGCTTATCTGTCAAAAAAACTTCTGTTTTTGCTCCAAACAAAGACCTATAGGAAAATTTTCGCGTTTGAAGAATTAATGTCTGCGACATTGTGACGCGGCCATTTTCGGACTTTTTTTTAGGAAAAGACTTTTAAAATTCTTGGAATACATATTTTCCAGAAAACGCAAAGTGTTGGTTATACCTCTTGAAGAGCTCTATCACCAAATGCAATCCAATCATTTTTTCATCTTTGCTTTTTATCAGAAATTGAGCGATGAAAAAGGAAGGCGGCTTGTCTGCAAGTTTTTGGCGGTCACTGTATGTAGATGATGAAGGATATCGTTCTCCATGATTAGCCGTTAAGCGGCCGCTTCGCAAGCCGATCGGTAGCTGCTTGCCCGCTGCAGTTGTATGAAAGGCAAAACCTTGATTTGAAACGTAAATTACTGTTGATATATCACTGCTGATGGTCTGCTGCGCACCATAATCCTCGTTATCACTCTTTCAAATGGACGAAAAGAGACCGTTCCAAGTCAATTTTGTCTCAGTCTAATCTTCGAGGTCTTGACTGCATGTAGGTATCAAAAACTGTAGATTTCCTCTATCCAGATGTTTTAGAAGGCAAACTAGAGGGAATATTTCCGCAACCTGTATTTCTATCATAAGCTTTAGTTTGTAATCGCGATGGTTGAGGAGACTGGCTCTAAGGATTCAGTCTCATAATATTAAACAAATGGAACATCATATTTGCTTACGATGCGACACGGCGAGCTGTTCACTTGAGTGCTGCTTTGTGCGATGAGCGCATAAGCTGCAGACCAGTCTTCTTCCGTTGTTCCCCTATCGCATCACGGAGCAAGCAGGATCACAATGTTAAGAGACACATTTGATGAAGATAATATGTGGTCATTGAGAAAGGCACAGCTATCTTCCGCCGTTAGAATGAAAGTACTTCACAAATGCTCGGAGAATGTCATACGTATTGCTGAACAACGAAGCTTTGCAATGTGGTGATTGCATGAAAATCCGTAAACACATCATTATTCATAGTAACAGACTGAGAGTGCACATGATTTATGTATGTATCGGGATCGGTGGGTATACTGTATTACACTCGGATTTGGTCTAATCTGTTTGACGAGGCTATGCACAAAGTTCCAGCCATCACTTATTGAAAAAGCTTAACAGGTGATGCCTGAAACCGCCGCGAAAATTTATCGTGATATAGTGTATTCAAATTTATTTATTTATTTATTTGAAACACACACGAAGTGCACCGAAAGCAACAACCAATTACGCCATAAAGTTTCATAATCTTTGCAAGCTATTATAAAAACGACCTTCATTTCCGTTTTACAAAGCATCGTTTGCGCTTAGGAAAGCTGAAAATCTTTGTGTTTCTTGCGCAGAAATATGAGCATTGATGCGCTTTTTGCTTAGAAAAAAGTAAGAAGATTTCCAAGCGCGAAAATTAGCTCAAAACGTGATTATTTGCTGTATCTTTCTATCCTAAGTGGAATGCAGAACAAGGGCAACACTTACAGGGCGTCCCAAAAAATATGCCTACTTCTTGAAGTCTTCCGAGAAGCTTTAGGCAGAATTTGTAGAGCTGACTTCAACTCAAATTTGCGGCATAAGGCGAGTTACCGATCACTTTTCATTACGGTAGGAACTTTTAGCTTACAGCGTCATTGTGGAATACCCTTGTTTCGGAAAGTTTTTGAAAAATCTGAAAAATTGTGTTTTAAGTAATTCAACACGTTTTCAGAATTTCTACCGTAACATACAGTAATGCTGAGAGATTGGCTATTCGCCTAGTGAAAATCTAAGTTGAAGCCAGCTCTAACAAGGGAATGGTCAGAAATCGAAGTGACCATTCCAGACAAGCTGCGTAGCGTTAGATGCAGCATGAAGCGCTGACTCTAAATCTATCTTTTTTATCTGCTTATCGCTTTTCTGGACGAAGTTATAAGCCATGAAAGACCATTATTCTGCTTAGAATTTACGCGTGAAATAGGAAATTTAGCCGTACAGAGCCTCGTTCATCTCAATGCTGGGCCAAAACATGCAGCTAGCTTACTTAAAATTTTTGAAGCCAGAAGCCGAGCTAAAAGTGCAACAGTGTGCTCAATTTCGCTGTTTTTATGCATGATTTTTTCACAATAAAACCACTTGTAGCTTCGTCCACAGAAGCGGGAAGCAGATAAGGAAGACAGATTCGAAATCAGCGTTTTATACTGCATCGAATGATGTACAGCTTGTTTGGTTTGGCCACTTCGACTTCTGACCATTCCCTTGTAAGAAACGGTACCTAAGGCTTCTTTAAAAACTTCATGACAGGAGAGTTACTAACAATCAAACGGTAGGCATATTTTTTGGGACGTCCTGTACTTTTCGCTATGTACGGTGAGGGGAATCATATCAACTACTGTTTTTACTCACTCATAAACATCCAAAGGAGACGAGAACCCTACGCTAAGTCGGCGAGTTTGAAGGCAGTTAATGAAATTTAGAGCTATTTGCTTGAAATTTCTTCCTCCACCTTAGCCAAGCTTCCCTATCCGCGTCTCTCTCCCTGACCGACAGCAAAAAATGCAGTATCGGTTGTCCTACACACAGATACCGCCGGTGTTGTTATGCGTTCCGGTCCACTCAAGTAACCACGAAGTTCACCCTTCGTTGACTCATCGCGCGATGACGTACCTTTGTGTCTGCTTTTTAGCCACCCGATACTGGAATCATGGTCAGCTGTAGACGCGCGGCCAGTTTTTCCGGAAATCCGCCCACTTTTTCAAGGTTCTGAGGGGATGAGTCACGAGAAGGAGACATAAGATCACGGAAGTTATTTGGGAAAACTGGAAAGCCGAGAAATTCAGAGGAGTGGAAATTTGCCTGTGCTGAGATGCTTCGCAGGCTTTCCATCAAACAAAGCACCGCTTTTGCGATGAAAAGTGAAACAAACCACCTATGTCTTTTCTCAAAATCAGTTTGATTTTTGGTACTACAAGAAAATTTGGACTTAGCGAGAGTTTTCGTACAACATCAGACTCCTCATTTACTTTGATAAAATGAGCTATCAGTAAATTCAGTTGTAGCATCGTCTTGCTGTCTTGTTTTCTAGAAGCAAAACATGGTATTGTGAAAAAGTTAGAAGCCTATCTGTACATAAACAAGAATTTTGCATTGTCTCTCAAAAAATAAAACTTGTTACATCATACATGAGGCAGCTTAAACGTTTCAGTAGTTATAAATACCAATCTGTTATGTTTGGATTTTTGTTAAAACTTTGCTTTGGACTGAAGATAGACAAATCGGTGACAATTTGCTCAGTGTCTATCCGATCGGCTCCCTGAACACCTCGTAAATCTTTTGCTAAGCCCTTTTAGGGCAATATTGACCTTAGCGCGCTCGAAATAGGATGAACTTTTTCTGGGGGTCAGCCGAGCACTGAAGATTGTTGCACTCGAGACTTAACTCACGATTTCTCTTTAGACATAATATCAATGATGCAATTCTCATTGGAATTGGTCGCACATAGTCCTCAACCGCTTCTTTCAGTACATGGCTTGCATATATGTGGTTAGGTCTTTCCTCAAAACGCTTCCGAAAAGAAGCATGTAACATGTCCAAATGTCATCTTTAGTGCAATCCTATAACTTTATGTTTTATACTTCGCTTCTATCTCGAATAGAGTTTCTGCATACTGCACAAGAGATCATATCCTATGGTTGAGCTTCTGCATCTAGCTCCCTCTGTATCATACTTCCTAGAATAGTATGCACTTCAACTTTGGATTCTCTGTATCATTAGAAAAATTATTTTGGAGAAAGCCGCTCAACAAATCACTCCGTTCCGTCACATAAAATTTAATATGGATCTGCAAGAAATTTATTTGCATGACTTAGAAGATGATAAAGGATAAAGGCGATGATAAAGATATGATAAAGACGTTGGTTATTGGTTAGGGTCTCAAATTTTCGTGGCTGCTAAATTCTAATTCACCAGCTGGAAGAAGCTTTATCTTTTTGCAACTTGTAGTTGCCACAACAAAAAATTCAAGAAAAGCAAGTAAGACAAATGTTAAGTTTTTCCATTCCCTTCTATTCTTGCCCTTTCTTACTTTCTGCATTAATCACATCAACAAATCCATTAATTCTGTGTAGTGACTCACAAGGGAATGATACTTGGTCGAAGGGGCATTTCCAGAGATGAATACTGTCTTATAGAGCGTGAAACGCTGATTTCAAATTTGCTTTCGCTATCTGCATTGCCTTTTGGTAAGGGAGTTAAGTAAATTTTTAGAGCAGAAATTTAAACGTGCGCCTACAATAAAATTATTCCAAACTGTAGTCTGTGAGCTCAGACAGTGTCACAATTACTGCAAGGCCACTTTATGCATTTGATACCTTCAGTATAATGAACTTATGCTAGTTATTACTCCTTTCAAGCGCTGGACAGACCGCAGCAGCCGTTTTACCTCAACCAAACCATTGGATTTTTGCTTTCAAAAATTTACATAACTCCCCTACCAGAAGCGCTTTGCAGTTAGCGAAAACAGATTCGGAATCAGCGTTTTCTGCTCTGTAAGACAGTGTACATTTCATATGGAAACGCTACTTCGACCAAGTATCCTTCCCTTGTTAGTGATATACGGCTATGGCTACTGAACTAGCTGGAGCTGCTAATGCCGAGTGCAAGTTCGAATCGAGAGAACAAGTGATTCATTTAAAACCGGACTTTGTTCTGCATAATTCGCTGTCTGGAAGAGGCGGGTTCAGATCAAAGAGGCGTGTCCTGCCAAAGTCTACATTCATAACAAATAATCCGCTCAGAGCAAACGCGGTCCGCCCTCAGCTGGACATTGCCCTGTCTATTTTAGGTGCGGGCGGAGCACTCTTGATAAAAGGCGTGCTGGTCACAAAAGATTCTAGCGCTCCCTTCATGACCGGTCCTCTCGCAGCCCTCTTGACTCCGTAATATTTCGCTCTTTCACTGTCTGTGCTCAAGTGACTGCTTAGTTACTTAGTTGCAATTCCGTTCCTTTACTCTGTCATGATTGTGACATACGTAACATCGTCTTCACGATATGCTATACTTCCTGGTATGTCATGACAAGTGTATGATCAGACCACGCAAACACGCCTCGTTAGAACCAAGACTCCATCTTTGCTCGTATTTGGAGTGTTCCGAGCCGGTACAGATCATATCCTCGATGAGAGATCGGGCACGAAAGTCGCGAGATAGTACGACGGAGAGAGCCTGACCGTGCGCGTGCGTCGTCCTGAGCTAGCCAAACATAGTTTGGTCCACTCGCGCCCCTCCACCCGCCCCGATTGAGTACACACTCTTAATGAGCAAGAAAATCAGTAAGCTCCCGTCTTTGCCGTATTCTCTCCGTACAAACGTATAATGGTCGCTTCATTGTCACTTATGTTTGTGTTTAACGTCTTGTTACCCTCTGTTGTGGCTTCTTTACGTTGCTTACAGTATACAAATGGTTGCAGGTACCATGCGGCGAGTGGCGTACTCCATCATGGTACTTTTACCGATATTTTGCTACTTTGTATTTGCTGATTCTCCCGGAGAAACAGCCCAAGTTGAAGGTGAGGTTTAACACCATGTCAATCTGCATGTTCCAAGCCATTTGTTACCGAAATTACGCATAAACTCGTGCGAGCCATCATCAGCATAGCATGCACAGCCGTTCTCTTTTCACGCGTTCGCTTTGTGCAATTGCACCACTCTGAAATTTACAGGTTGCTGCATGACGAAGGCGCAATGGGTAGGGGAACGAAAACCGCCAGGGGCCTCCTCCGCGGACTACTGGTCCTGGAACGACATGCAACAACACTGCAAAGGACCAGTTGGCCGCGAAACGCGGTTGAAACTGGCGGCCTTCATTCTCCTACCTAGGCGCAATATCTTAGGGCGCAAACTCGGCTTTATTAGCCGCAGAGCGCATGAGGCGCAGGATTTTCAAAGATGAAGATACGCGCGCGCCGCGTTCGCGCCCGCTCATCTGATACTGCTTCTGCGCCTTTTCATGCAGTAGCCCTTACAGTTAAGTCAATGGCGGTAGAGTCAATACCAAGACCATAAAAAATATATAACGTTGAAATAACTTGAAAACGAACGAACTATAACAAAGTCCGTTGGCTCATTGTGTTGACAGTCGAAAGTGAGTAAAATGTGCAGTTGCACAAAGTGCCTGCAGAACTGAAGACAGCTGACGTGCAGGCTGCGAGAATAGTCGATTTGAGAGATGCTATATCATTCCAAATTTTAGAAAGTCTCATAAATAAAGTCGCTTTTTTGACCCAGATAAGTTCGCCTTCAGATAAGTTCACCCTATAGATAAGTCCTTTTTCTTCCATTATACCTAAAATCCCGCCAATAAGTCCGGCCTTATCTGCATTTTTTGACCCGAAAAATTGATAAAAAATCGCTCTCTGCGCTGCCAGAAGTCTAGCAGATGAATCCTCCCATCAGACCGCAGCAGATCTGCTAGACTTCTGGCAGCGCAGAGGGCGATTTTTTATCAATTTTTCGTGTCAAAAAATGCAGATAAGGCCGGACTTATTGGCGGGATTTTAGGGTAGGTAGTTACAAATCTTGTCAGATAAGTCCGGAGCACTCTTATTTGCATCCGACTTATCTTTTGAAGGACTTATCTGCGGGGAAGCTCTATGCGAAATTTTGGGGTGCTTGGAATCGTACATAAAATGTGGTTTCGGATTCACCTTCGGAAAATGTTCTTTGTTCAACATATCGTTGGGTTCTTTTGCCGAAATCCGGTTCCAAACGGGAAAATTTGTTTGCAGAACTCACAATCATCACTATGTTCAGAGTTCGAACTTCGCGACGAGCCTTTCGAATACGATAGCAATATGACCGTTTCACGAACAAAACGACAATTTGGTACATGCCCTCCAAACTGCTTCTCTCAGTGCACCAACAACTACCAGTGCCCAAGGCCGGCTGTATGCATGCAAGGCTGCTGTTGTCCAGACACTACAGTCAATCTCGCAAGTAGGTTGAGATTTTTTCAGTTAGAAGTTTTCGAAGTTTTCTCCTAGAAGGGTGAGTAAGCGCAAAAACGTTTTGTGATTCCGTTAAGCTACATGAAAATTACGCGATGACTTCTTGCTGCACCGTACACGGTAATTCGGTCTCTCTGCTCTATTTACCTCAAGAGCGAGAGCCGCTGAGATGTTTGCTTGGGTTAAGCACCAGCGCACGAGCTGGTGCTGACCGTTCGCACATGAAACAATGCCCCTACAAAACAACTAAAGTCGCGACCATACTAGAAGCAGGGGTGCCGTCTTTCAGTAGAATAACCAAAAAAATTTTGAGCGAACGAGCTTCATGTAGTGCCTGACTGGATCCCTCTCATTGCTTTTTGCTTCAAACTTTCAAGAGGTTCGCTTTTTTTCTTAAAGTAAATAAATAGAAGGGTACTGACATGCGACTCTCGCGAGCCTTTTGATAGGTCTGAAGAGACACGGATAATAGCGATAAAAATTTCTCATGTGTTCGACACGGAGTGAGAACCTAGCAAACATCTCAATATTATATTTTAGCTGCTTGCTCCGGCGGTCCAGCTGTAGCAGCATGTTTGGGTGGTCTTTGCGGCCAGGGATTCTTCTGCACAGTGAATAACTTCTGCTGCCGTTGCCAGTCAGGAAATACGACAGGTGATTAATGAATAGATCTTGACGAAATTTGATTTTTGGCAAAAACATCAACTTCAGGTCCATGCGTCAATCAACAGTGTCCAGTCGGCTACATCTGCAATACAAACAACTACTGCTGCCCCATAGGATCAGGAGGAGTTCTGGGTGAGTGTTCAACTCCACTGCTCGCTTTATCCGCACCGCGTCTATGTTTCAGGACCTTGCGTCAATGGACAGTGCCCACCTGGCTACACCTGCGGCGCTGGAAACCTTTGCTACTTAACGTCGGGATAATTATGTGCCTTTAACGATGTGTTGTGAACTATCTCGATTTTTGTCTTTCTTGTTGATTTCTTTATTTGAAACTAAGTTATGATTTGTGCATAATAATAAATCAGAGAAAAATGATCGCGCGTGGTGCGTGATCAGCAGGTTCGTCGGTAGAAGTGGCGAGATTTGTAACCTTCTCTTGTTCGATTGAATCCATCTGAAGTACATCCTTCTTTGACTATGTAAATTAACTCTTGTTGTACGCAGCTGCATGCGAGTTTGTTCGGTAACTTAGCTAATTAGATAATTTTTGCTGTGAAGACTGATAGTAGCATCTAATCTCAGCTCCATAAAAATAAGTAAAACTAATTAGGTGCATGTTCATAAATGACCATGCGCAAGAGAACCTTATATGCTTTCACTGCGGATTGCCCAATAAATATTTCGATTTTAAGAATGTTGTGAGCAGCACAGACACTTCAAAATATGATATAATTCCGTCAACGCATAGGCCATTGAACATAAATATTCTAAAGTGACACGATAAACGTTTTCACAATATATAGAGTTGTAAAGAAAGTTCTACCAATTTTTTTTGTAATTACCGAAATTGAATGATAATGCAAGGGTCGTTTGGGATTTGTTCTCAGTGCTCGATGGCGCCAGCTATCAAATACGCTGCTTCGCTTGAAAAAATAACTCTAAATTGAAAAAATACCTAAAAAAGGATAGTGATCCATTGCGTTCATGTGTGCGGGCACACTTTTTCAGATTACAGACGCGCAGGACTTGCAGAAGTATCATTCAAAATAGCTATATATCAGTGGCAGCATATTCAGGATTTCGGCTGGGGGGGGGGGGGAGACAAAATTTTTTTCAACTCTGAAGGAATTCTGGCGATGTTCCTCAAAATTTTTCCGGGTCCCCATCCCCTGAAATCTGGAAAAAGGAGGCGTGGCGTTAGCCCGCCCTCGAAAAAAATTTTTATAAGGCCAAAATGAATTTTCAAAAAATTTTAAAAAATATCTTAATTATTTACAAGTAAAAACAAGCTATTTGCACAGATTTATAACTCATGTAAGTAACTTTCAAAAATTTCGCGACCCCTTCTCGGGGGACGGCACAGGTGGCTTATCAAGCAAGCTGGATATCGCTATTGGCGGAAAAGCAGAAGGGACATTGTTTTTGCGGAATAGCATACCGCTGTCTCTCGATCTGCCGCCGGCACGCTGGCGGCATTCCAGCAGCATGCTCTCACACTTTCGCAACTGGTGGTGGCACTTGCCACCATCAATCCAGGGACCTGCTGCACTGGCGCAAGAGCATATTCTTACTACTCACTGTTATACATCGCTCCATATAGCCTTTGCCTTAAGAATGTAGCTTCAAAACCCCTCGTTCATTTGTCATCCTGTCAGCAATACAAAAATTTCTGTATGCAAGTGATTTTCAACCGATTCAATAATTTGCGCCGGCTTCAGCGCCGAGTCAGTAATCTCACCTATTGACTAAAAATACTCATTGTATTACCAGAAAGTTTTCTGCAAGTGTAGCTGCTAACTGTTCGCGGGTCCACATGTGTTAAGGAAGATTTGAATATCAATAATAAGCGCAAAAACAAAAAATTGAAAAATCAGAAAGAAATAGTTTATAAGGCTAAAAGGACTCTAAACTCCGCTATAATGTTATTGATATGGTAGTAAGTAAGAAACAATAGGAGAGAGGCTTCCTGGCCCACTCACAAAAACTCAGGACGAAAGGGTTAAGGCGAAGTGAAGATGAAATGACACCAAACTTGGTGTGTAGATGGGGAATGGGGAGTTAGAACTAAGTATGGAAATTTATGAAAAAATATACGAACTAAAAGAGTGCCCAAATTTTTCCGGAGTTTAGTGGCTTTCAAGCCGTCCGGGGCGGTATGTATAAATCGCCGGTCCGGGTAAGGGTTCCCATTTAGGTAGTATCTGCTTTATAGCTCCATGCTCTGGGGATCTGTGTTCTTCTTTGATTGTCCATCTTTTGAAGGCCCTACTACCCTAATATTGTAGCATAATGAATGCCGCACTTTGCTGTATAAGCTGAGATTTTCAGTATTTCGTATGATCCCGAACAGGATCCTCAGGTGTAACGACTCATTTTCAAAATCATTGATCTTTGCAAAAACTCAATGAAAACGTCGTAAAGTTATCCTGTTGATCTATTATGACAGTGCTGAGTATTTTTGTGGAAGTCATAGGTGAAAATTCAAGTCGACGAAATTTTCGAGGAACCTCCGCTCGCGAGCTGGGGTTTGTCGAAAAACTCAATAATTCCACATCTTATCTGTGGTACTGGAATCATGCTTATAATTGTCATAATAAGTTCTTCAACACAACTTCACGACGTTTTCATAAAGTTTTTGCAAAAACAAATGTACTTTGAAAATGAGCCGGGATCCCTGAGGGATCCCCGTTCGGGACCATACAAAATACCAAAAATCTCGGTTTATACAGCAAAGTGCTGCTACCTATCATGCTACATAGGGTAGTAGAGCCTCCAAAACATGGACAAACAAAAAAGAACGCAGATCCCCATCTACATGAATGGGAACCCTTACCCGAACGGGCGATTGATACATACCGCCCCTGGAATTTACCTGAGGTGGCTTGGGAAAGAAAAAGTCATAAATTTTCCGTCTCTCACATAATTTTTTGATCTTCTTTACATAAATTTCATCTACATCTTAAACCCTAAAAATTGGTTCCTGAACCTTTTTAAACCCGCTCCTCCCCGCAATTACAGCCCTTTGAAAACTTTAGATGGCTGCGGCAACGCTGCTTCAGGCGCGTAGTGCTGCGCGCTGGATACATCATGTCGCCAATCTAATATATAAAGAATCGTTAACTCAATTCAAAAATCTGCAAATAGCGGGAAACCGCAGGCGAGACCCTAAGCGAACGCTCTTGTAAATAGCGCGTTTGAACTACTGATTCACTAGTCCGGAGAATACGAATGCCATCGCGTTTGTTTGATGCTTCTTTGGCGTTTTTTCCGTTTTGCTTTGTTTCGTTCCTTTTCATGTTTTTTTTTCTTCTAATATCTCAATGTCGTACGCTCACTGTGAAGTCAGAGGGGACTTCGTTTTTTGCAGTTTGGAGAAGCCATCTCGTGCCGAGCCCGCCCTGCTTCTCGATGGTGGTGAAAAGTTAATGCTAAAAAATCTTTTTCCGGAAACCTGCGAAACCGCTCATGCTTTTGGATAATGGATTTACATGCTGATGACATGCGTTGTGCAAAATTCTGGCTCGAGATGTTTGCTACAATCCGCTCTATGAATTTCGTGACAGACAGTATACACACACAGACAAACAGACAGACGGTCTAAGCGCTTTATTGTTAAGTAATGATAAGTATTATTAGGTAACCTCGATTCATTTGTAACTTAATATTTTAGATTGCACACTAAGCCCTATTAGCAACGGCATCCATACTAGTAACTTCTCAGTAAAACATTTTCCAGCCTAACAAAGTGTAAAAATATGTTCTAACAACTAACACATGACCAAAAAGAACAAAAAAGACAAGGAAACAAGGAGAAATCAGCGGAAATGAGCAGGTTCTAGTCGTGCAGTTGGTGAATTAATGTGTACAGCGTGCACTACACCTATTAAGTTAGGAATGACTCGACGATATATTCAAATAAATTGCTGTCTTGTTCAGGACTTTTTTTGTTTATAAGACAGCATCGCGCAGATTAGCATAAGACCGACTGTTATGAGAGGACAAGAGTATGACATTAAAATGATCAAAGGCGATCGAAAAATTCACGACAGTTTTGTAAATACATGGAATACCACCACTTCTAAATTGTTGTCAACAGTTGTGGATAATTCGGATGAGGCATACCACGCGATCTCAGTCACCATGCAATGTAACAATTTGCCAAATGTCTCTGAACAACACTGGCAGGTACGATGCGAACGCTTTCGATTCGCTAAATTGCTAATATGCATTATCTTCTGTGTTTTCAAAATGCACTCACTATAAGTTATGAACAATTGGAGTATTGCAAGATTGCGTGGCGATTGAAAGGCCTGGATTATGCCCGCGACCGAGATGCCAAGACTTCCTTCCCTTCTCAGAAAATAACTCGGACGAGCGGCAGGCCTTAAAGGCAGCGGCTCGGCAGAATTTCAACTTCGGGGTTTTGGCAGATTTGGGGCTATTCCGGCCCCCTGAATCACGACATGAACTCCCTTTAGCGCGAAAATGGGGAAAACACCGTCTGTTGAAACCCCCCTTGAGACGGGCGCGGACGAGTGAACCGTTTTTCTCCGCCGTCAGAAACGCAGAGTAAGGAAGTAGAGAGCGCAGAACAATTGAGTGACGAGTAATGGCGCGTTTTCTAGCGGGAAACATACTCGTCCGAACAAGGTGTTAGGGGAGCGAAAGGAGGAAGGGGAGCAGCGGTTGGGCCGTCCCCCTGGCTCGCAGAGTTCGCATTTTCGGCGCGAAGTTGCTGTTTTGGTTCACTTGGAAAACCTCCTATCCATCTATGTCAAAATTTGAGGTAGCTTCATTCTGCCGAGATGCTGCTTCTAAAGGCAGTGTCCGGGCAAAAAGTCGATCCTGAGATTTTGTGCTTATCCGGGCCTATTCACTATGCTGAATCCGAAAATCCACATTGAAACGCGCGAAAACGGCGAAAAAAGGCTTTAACGCGGAAGGGAAATCAGCAAGTGGGCAGGGTCCACCCCAATGCGAATTTACAGTCGCGGCTCTCGGAGCGATCTTCTCAGTTCCGCTAGCGCCCTGAGATCTCCACAGGCCAGGTGCGAATGCATGACCTGAAGTCGGGACCGAGAAGATCGCTCCGGAAGCTTGGAGCGTGAATCCGCAGTGGGGAAGACCCCACCCCCTTCTAATTTCCTTTCTGCGTTCGAGCTTTTTTTCGTTGTTTTCGCGCTTCCTAATGTGAATTTTCGAAGTCAGCATAGCAAAAAGGCTCGGGTAAGCACAAAATCTCAAAATCAACTTTTTGCCTGGACACTGCCTTTAGCTAAGGACATCTGGGGCTCTTTAGCTCCTTGTAAGAGCTGTCTCTGTCATAAAGCAACTATTGGATTGGTGCGAACACTGGACATTGGACACTGCCTTTAACGGCTTTGCGGGCGAGCGGTGAGCTTTGATTTGTGATGGTGACTTTTTTGCGGACGAGCGGCGTACGCTCGCTACTGAGCTTTCCTAGCGGCGGACCTTAATCTGACCAGCGGCGACCCATCCCTTCAGGCCTCGGACAGAGTTCACGCGATTTGATCGTCACGTTGCAATCGCTAAAGACAAGTGTTACGAGTTCATTGCATGCCGATTTTCTTGTAATTCGGTTGTGATAGTTAGTCACGACTAATTGTCTTTCCCGGCCCAGCCCGGGCCATTGTTCACCTGCATTGCGAACCCCTCCCGCCTCTTAAATGTTATGGACAACTTACCCTGGGACATCCGCTTCGAAACCGATCCTCGTGATCCTGAGGTGGAAAAGAGCTTCACCGCCATCTTTGCATGGCTTTGGAAAAATGCTTGATTAAACATGGTAAGCATTCAATTCCTTAGAAGAACGTAAATAAACCAATAAATCGATAGGAGGACCCAATGAACCGCCGCAAAAAGTAGCCTGTCATTTGCCGAAGAGTCGAAAACATATGTGTGCAAAGTTTCAGCTAAATCGGTTGAGCCGCGCGCTTTTCTATAACGCACATAGCCTCCAAACTCGGAATTTGAGTTTTATATATATAGATTAGTCGTGTTGGAAAACTTTCACAACCGAATTACAAGAAAATGGGCATGCAATGAACTCGTAACACTGTCTTTAGCGATTAGATCGCGACAACCAAATCGCGTGAACTCTGTCCGAGGCCTCAAGCGGGTGGGCGGCGTACCATTATCATACTCCTTATCTTACAGCAGCGAGTCACCTCCGCTTCGCGGAGGTTCGCACTGGCTCCCTATCCGTATGCCTTTCTCATGTTCGCATGAGAATGACTTTGAAACTCACCACGCGATGCTGAGAATCACAAATGAATCGTAAACAACTGTTCATTCATGAAGCATCTCCCTGTAGGATCGGTAATTTGGAGAAAAAACTTTGTTGCAAGGAAACAAATGCAAATTTGAACGGGTTACTAAATTTATCTTAGTTTAATAATCGTCATAAGGATAATAGTCACCTTGGGCTACATTTCAGTGCAAAAATCTTTTTAGTATTTTCAAATAAAACCTTGCCAAATCGACTATCTACGCGTTCATCATTTTTTGGCGCTGTTTTCGCAAAAAAAAACAAACTTTTTGAGCACTTTTTGGGTTAAAATTCATGGCGCGCAGAGTTACTTGTCAAGCAAACCATTACTTTGCAAAAAGTCGAAATAGCGACCCAGTTTGCGTGCCAAAAGGCGCGTTTGAGGGACCCGCTTATCGAACCGGCTCGTCCTTGTACATGGTGGGCCTACACGCTGGAACGGTATGTTACGCAAAATTGCAGCCCGATAGCTTAGTTGCAGCTTCCTCTATGAATTTCGTGAAAGAAAGATTTTCACACAGACATACAGACATACAGACACACACACACACACACACACACACACACACACACACACACACACACACACACACACACACACACACACACACACACACACACACACACACACACACACACAAACACACACACACACACACACAGAGAGAGAGAGAGAAAACAGCGTTATTATAGTAGATCATCTTGAAGTTCTCTCATTGCAGTGTGTTCATTTCGTCAATGCTGTTTTCATGGCCTAGTGGCTATTTGAGCTACTAAAATTGATTGAGTTTAGCCGTTGCCAATGAATCACATGAACCTCTCTCTGCATTTATATACCCAGAAAGGGGAAATGAGGAAAGAAGGGGATAAAGAGAAGTGAATTATAATTATGACAGCGAGTAATTCCCGGCATATGCAAGAAGCCGATCTTTTAGGAGAATTTTTGCTAACAAAGGGTTTGGTTCTTCTGCAAAGCTATAGTGGTAACAAAAAGTGATGACAAGTCTGAGGTGGACGAAGTTAGAAGTAGGTTTGCGTTTAATTGTGTTAAAAGCAAGCGCATTACGATGTTTCAGAATCGTATTTCAATTGTATCTGCACGAGTAAGAACTCTGAATCCGCGACCTTTTTTACATGGTTCGCTCTTCTTGGAAATTCAGGGTCGGTAGTAAACCTATCGAAACTCAGAGTTATAACTCACAGTTAACTCTGAGTTATCTCTGAGCTAACGCGCAACTTTTTGACCCCTTTAACAGGTGTTTGAACAGATCAAATCCGAAAAGCGATGATATGGCAGGATTCTCCTTAAGACGTAGTTTATTCCTAGTAGCGCAATATTGTCCAAATCGTTCTGCACAAGAAACAGCGCCACCAAACGCGCAGCTAGTGTCTGCGATAACTCTGAGTTTGATGCGCGTTCCAGTCTATCGTGGAACTCATAGATAACTCTGAGTTTGGTCAGAGAAAGAGAAATAGTGCGCAAAAGAAGAGGGGCAGCTAAAAAGTCCTCCGGGGTACATTTTGCTCGTAGTTTAAGCAGGCATGATGGGAGTATCGTGGTGCGCAGCGATTTACAAAATTTTGAAATTTTGTAAGAACTTGGCCCAGGGGGTTATTCGGTGCGCTGGTCACGCATATGGTACCCATTTTTCACTATGGGGTCATGTAGAGGTGTTACGGTAGGTTTACGGTAGATGGGAGAAAATCACGAAACTGATCGAAACTTGGTACACTGGGGTTTACTCGGGACGCCGATAACGAGTATGACATGCAGATCATACTGTGGTGTCATCTGACAAGGTTACGGTAGGTTTACGGTAGACGAATTAAAGCGGCGGAATTAACCGAAATTTGGTACACTGGAGTTATTCGGGATGCAGATTACGGACAATCTATCTGCTACATACACTGGTGATATATGGAACGGTTACGGTAGGTATACGGTCAGTAAGACGAAATCATGGAAGGGCAAACTTTGCCCGGAGGATTTATTCTGTGCGCAAATCCCAATAGTCAATTCTTATCATTGCGTATGCCATCCGCTTTCTCTACTGCTTGAAGCTTTCAGCTGCGCAAAAAACCAATCCTCGTGATGAACCATCACTGCCCGATAGAAATGGAAATGAGTGAGGCTTTGGTATAACTTGTTTTGACCTGCTAAGTGTTAATGAGTGAGTACATTATGGCAAAGCAATTTAGGGTTCATGGGTGTGTCATGGTCTAGCGGTTTAGTGATAGGAACTTTACGCTAGACCATACAGGTTTGAGTCCCTACTTTAACGTCGCTTTTGCAGCAAAGTGCTCAACAGCTCCTCAAGGCAAAACTCCGAGCTTGAGAGTTGGAATTCAAAATTACGAAAGCGGAACTCAGAGTTTCCATAAGCGTAACTCAGAGTTTCAAAAACGGAACTCAGAGTTATCTCTGGGTTAACGCAGAGCTTCAAACTCGGAGTTCGGACCAGATTACTAGAGACCCAGGAACTTATCATGACTTATAATAAAGCGCGTGTCTGTCTGTGTGTGTATGTTTATGTCTGTCTGTCACGAAATTCATAGAGCGTTTTGTAGGCAAGGTCTTGAGCTGAAATTTTGGTCATAGCACCTTACCAGCATGTAGGTAAAAAGTGCAAAAGCAAAGCCGATCCGATATTTGGGACCTTTAAAAACTGCGCGTCAAACGGGCCCACGCGGCTTTTGGCACGCAAAACTAGGTCATTAATTCGACTTTTTGCGAAGTCATGAGTTGCCTGACATACATCTACGCCTCATGAATTCTAACCCAAAAAGTGCTCAAAAAGTTTGCTTTTCTGCGAAAACAGCGCCAAAAAGTGGTGATCGCTTAGACAGTCGATTTGGCAAGGTTTTACCTTCAGAACTGGAAAGATTTTTGCACGGAAATTTAGCTCAAAGTGACTATTATCCTTATGACGACTACCAAGCCAAAACAAATTCAATAATCTAATCGAATTCGCAAGTGTTCCTTTGCGACAAGTTTTTTCTCTCAAAATTACCGATCTTACGTGGAGATGCTTCAAAAATGAACAGTTGTTTACTATTCATTTGTGATGTTCAGCACCGCATGGTGGGTTTCAAAGTCATCATTATGCGAACATGAGAAAGGCAAATGGATAGGAGAGCCAGTGCGAATCTCCGCGAAGCGGAGGTGACACACTGGTATATAATATCCAATCATTTTTAGGGACTCTGCAATATATGTTTCCCTCTAGCAAACGTAAAAGCAGATCCACATTAACTATCATTACCTTGTTTCATATATGTTGGCTGGAATATCACTTGGCGTTCTCTACGTTTTGTGTTGTTGCTTAGATGTAATAATAAATTGACCATTAGAATGGGTTGTAGGAATCAGATTGTGTGTCTGTAGCCAAAGTTGCAGACCATAAACATTAGGCAGCAGGCTGTCGGATCTTTGTACTTCTGTAAGGAGAGGGCCGGAGACGGGAAGCATGATCAGTAACCGCTAAAGATACTCCGCTCGCCCGCTTTATATCTCTAGCGGGTGGACGGCTGCTTCCAGAGGACGAGCGACGAGAGGCATGATCGCCCGCCAGGTAAGGCCCGCCGTTCGTCCGAATTATTATCTGAGTTGTTGAGATGGATCACCACCACTCTCAAATGTTGTTGACAGTCTCGTGATATTGATATGCTACACTACTTGAAAACGTAAGTCAAGTTCATTTGTGCTTTGAGATTATCTCGTTGCTGAACATTTTCGGCAAGTTCTTATGATTACTTGAGTCACGTTTGTACTTTGGACGTTGCGTTGTATCTTGCCTGTCATCGGAAGAAGGTGAGAGACAACTATGTGTGCCCAATTTAAAGCACAATTTATCTGGAACAATCCTGTTACTAATCGTTTTCTCAGCAATGTTTCTCTCACAGACAATTATGAGCCTAGTTTTATGCCAAACCTCAAACATGGCTATAGGTTTGCGCAGACTTCCCTCAGACATTAGTTTATGTTATTATAAGGGCTTTAAAGGCACTGTCCACCCAAATTCTCAACTTCCAGGTTTTTGTCGTTTCAGGACTTTCTCGTGTCCCTGATTCCAAATATGAAGTCGAGAATCCGCGAAAACCTCGACAAACCCCATCCGAGAACCCACAGGCCGGCTTTCCAGAACGGTGAATGGATGAGCGCGCACAAATGGGCGGGCATGTGGGAAGGGGCGGGCATGGATGGAGTCCTCATGCATCTTCGCTAATCCGAAGCGATTTTCTCACTTTCAAAGCGGCCTATTGCGCCGCGACTTGGGCATTGGTTTGATAGAAGGCCCTACTGTCATATGCTGCAAAAAGCTCAACATCCTCAACTTAGGGTGGACGGTGCCTTTAGGCCTCGGACAGAGTTCACGCGATTTTATCGTCGCGATTCAATCGCTACAAGACACAACTGTTACGAGTTCATTGCATGCCGATCAGCCGTTTCGGTTGTGATACTTTTCTAGCTCGAAAATTTTGAATGTAAAATGAAAATGAATGAAAGTCGTGGCGATTAGATCGCGACGATCAAATCGCGTAAACTCTGTCCGAGGCCTTAAGGGCTCATCATAAATCCCAGGTACTTTGGACCAGTTTGTTTGGGTTGGGTCAGACCGCGACATGTACATAAAGATATGGAGCGTACGCTGCGTACTCGCGTAGCCGCTTATTAACCCACACTTTGGCTTTGAAGGATAGCAGACAAGCAACTCTAGTTTTGAGTACATGTGCCGTAGAGACGGTGGTCAGTAATAGAATCGGACACAATTCTCTATGAACATATTCTTCAAATGTCGCGTAATCTGTCTCCTGGGAGTCGAAGCATGGAAAAAGTTTGGGTGCTATCATCGCACGGATTGGTCTTTTGTGCAGCTGAAACCTTCAAACAATAGTGAGCATGGCATGCGCAACGACAAGATTGGACTATTAGGATTTGGCACAGAATAAACCTACAGGGCAAAGTTTGCTCTTATTCTATGATTTGGCCCACTTACCGTAAGGCCTACCGTCTCCCCGTCAGATGGCATCGCCGTATGAAGTGTTTGTTATAGTGGTTGGTGTGCCGAAACCTCACAGGGTCGATTTTTAGCCATGTTTGTGACTTCACCCCACTTACCGTATACCTACCGTACCAGAATACGGAGCAGGTGGGCTGTTCATAATCTGCGCCCCGAATAACCTCAGTGCACCAAGTTTCGACCAACTTTGGGAGTTTCTCCTGCCTACCGTAAACCTTCCTTAAAGGCAGCGTCCAGGCAAGTCTGGACACATGGAGATTTCACTTGGATAGTAATTCTGGGGCCCTAACTAAGCCAATGCCCAGTCGGCAGCTTAGATATTGCTCTAACGGCTAGGATATCCCTCTCAAAACTGGACCCCGCGATCGTATTTCGCATGGATTCATGGCGCAAAGCGTGTGTCCTTGCGCGAAACTGCCATGAATCCATGCGAATACGATTGCGGGGTCCAGTTTCGAGGGGAATATCTCAGCCGTTAGAGCACTACCCGCTCAGACAATCGCCGGGGCAGGCGGGCGCCGGAAAATACGCGTTGCTGAAATTTCGCATTCCGCTCGCTTTTATTTTATGAAAAAAGTCAATTGCATTTTCGCATCACTTCCTAGCTACCTAAGGCCTCGAACAGAGTTTACGCGATTTAATCGTCGCCATTTAATCGCCACGATTTTCATTCATTTTCATGTTACATTCAAAATTTTGAGCTGGAAAAGTATCACAACCGAAATGCAAGCTGATCGGCATGCAATGAACTCGTAACTGTTGTCTTGTAGTGATTGAATCGCGACGATCAAATCGCGTGAACTCTGTCCGAGGCCTAATGCCAAAATTTCGAAGTGCCCTCTGCAAAATGTAGTTTCCAACTCTATACTTATGTTAGAGTAATATATAGAGCTGCCTTCGCGCTTTAAACCGAAAGTATTTGAAGGCATCGCCTACCCTAAGGGGTCTTGAGCTTTTGGCGACATATATAGTAAGGTCCTCTCGAGCCAGCGCCCAAATCGCGGCGCAAAATGTCGCTTTAGAAGCGAGAAAATCGTTCCGAAACAACATTGAGAGCAGTAGACACCTCGGCGGCAAGTAATGTCCGCCTATCCGTCGCCCATTCAAAGGCCGCTGCGGAGAACCCGCCAAGCGGATCTCCGGATGGAGTTTGTCGGGGTTTTCGCAGATTTTCGACTTCATGTTCGGAACCAGAGACATGAGAACGCCTTGGAACGACAAAAACATAGAAGTTGAAAGTCTGAGTGGACGATGCCTTCAAGGAAAAAGTCGTGTTTCAGTTTTTAAGCTGCTCTATCCGCTACCAATAAATCCACGTCTTAATCCACATTCAAATTTGCGACACCAAAAATGGTGCCTGACGAATCGCTTACACTTACTTGTTCCATAGGATTAATGGAACCTATTTGAGCGCATGTTGTGTGCTTGACCAAAAACTCGATCCACAGGATTAGCTAAAATAAAGCACGAGGGAAACATAGTGTATGCCCCAGCCAGCTTCCCAGAATTACCGCCGCAGCGCATATGCGGCGCGGTCTCTTCCTGCAGCCTCTGGCTTCGTCACTGAGCAATATTGCACTGCTCACGCAGGAAATCGAGTAAGAGGAAGAGAATGCCAACTTTCCAGTCCACTTTTGAAAATTTGTGTGAGCCTCGATGAGTGTTTAGAACGTTACATGCGGTAGCACTTGGAATTAGCAGCTTAGAATGAACAATTAACAATAAGTAGTTCCTGTAACATTTCAGTTTGATAAGCATAGCAAAATCCAAACATTTTAGCTTGAACACAAGCCCATCTAATCAAATGAAGACTTTTATCCTTCAAAAGGCATGCACAAGTACAAGCCAGGGCCCGGCAAAGATCGTTTCGAAGCAGGCTGGACTTCGCTTTTGGAGCAAAAAGCAAAAGAGATATAGTTTTTGCGATGTCAGGGCGCACCAAGAGAACGCAAGCTTTTCGGACAGATTATCACACGGTTGACATGCTCTATCGTGTATGGCGAAAAGTGCGCGCGATTTAAAAGCAAGGCTAAAATGAAAAAAATTGCTTGTTTACAGCGCACACAGAATCGTATGACACCAACATTGAGCTGTATACATGGAAAATTACTTGCAAAAGAAGTATGTGAAAAGATTTCAAAAATTTTATATTTCTGTCACTTCACATAAGTTTTAGATCTTTCTATCACAGACGGATTTCCCGGTCAAAACTCTACCTCTGAGCACTGAACCGTTTTCATATCATTGCCTTTCCTTCGTTTTTTGCCTTAATTTCTACACTCGCTTTGTTAAATTTCGCGCTCCAATGCCAAACTCTTGTGCATGCGTAGTATTGAGCTCCAATTTGGATTTTCACTCTTATTTTATATTTTTTTAGACTAGTCAATCTCTCTTATTTTCATCTTTCCTTAAGTAGTAGGACAAAGAGGAGTTCGTAGAACTTCCGAAAGTGAGGGGAGACTTCGTTTTCGGAAACCCTAGAAACCGACTCGTGCCGGGCCCTGCATATAGCATGTGCCGCACTGAGGTTCTCATAGGTTCCATCGTTTTAGTGCGTAAACTTCAACATTTTTGAGGCGCTTATTCGAAGTTGACCTATCAAATCGATCGAAAGGCAGCTACGTTGATGTTAGCTCTAGGAATCTTTCGGGGGAGAAGCCAACTAGGATCATAGGCATAACATGATGTTTAAAGAGTTGGATTTACGTTCAGATTGCGTCATGTTATTGACTGCCACTGCCCTGCTAATCTCAATCATGGTGACAATCTATTTGTTTGGATGTGGCGGCAAGGATAGATCACGAACACAAGCAGGAGCACAAGAGCCACCGACTGTGGTAATGATTATAGAAATTGAATTTGATCTATTATTTTATGTGATACGGTTGGAGTCCATCTGCAACACTCCAATCTTCGTAATTGTGAGAATTCATTTTTCACCAAAAGTTTCTTACATCAAAGGCTCTTTCGTTTTGGTTCTTATTATTTTCGATTAGTGAATGGATGTAAAGCCAAGCGTAACGCGCAAAGCGAACGAACTTGCATAACTTATCGCCATCTCACAAGGGATGGATAGTCAAAGTAGCCTTTAGGATGGAATGGAGATTAGTCTGAAAGCATGATGCGTTGATACCAAATCTACCTTCGTTATCTGTGGGCTCTTCTGAGCATGGGGTTATGAGGGTTTATAGTAGCAAAAATTTGAATGTGCAACGATGAACATCTCAGCGTAAATGTCTTCTTTCTAGCTCTTAAAGGTAGCGTTCACCCAGAATCTGTGTTACTCACATTACTGTACATTGTGTAGGGAGCCTTAGATGTAGAGCACCTGTGATGGTCTGGTCTCCCATTGTTGCCTCCAAAAGGAGAAAATGCACTTGAAACACGGAGATCTTTTTGCGTTCCTTCCCCTTTTTGCGCGTCGCCCATCCAGAAACGACTTTCTGACGCATTTTGGCGTGGCAAGCGTCGTCTAAGCGCATACTGTGCAACTATATTCCGCATTCGACAACACTTTGTTGCATGCGACGGGAATAACGCCGGAACACTCGTCCACGCTTGCCCAAATAAGGTCTGAGGAAACGGGTTTTTGGAGTCTCAACTTAATTAGCACCCCATATTCAAAATCAGGGCTTTGGAAAGGACTTAAAATGACAAAGACATCAAATACGAAAATCTGGTTAAATGCTGCGCTTAAATGAGACAGTGTGTGGATTCCGTCTGAACTACGATATTTATTGCTTGGTGGTATCCTAACGACCATCACTGCTCCAAAGCTCCAAAAATTGTGCTACATGAAAATTTGGCTGCGTTCTACAGCTCCACTAGCTTACAGCCTTTCGTTCCTAAAGGCTGTAAGCTATTGGAGCAATAAACAAAACGCAATCAGATTTTCCTCTAAAAAATCAAATTCGCTTTAAAAATGCAGAAGCCCCAAATATGTAGGGTGCACTAAGAAAACCGTTGTTTGACCGTTAGCTTTCTCGCCTCTTTTTCTCTTAGGCAAAACTTTATATGTGCAGCATGGAATTAATTATCATCGAACTAATTATCATCAGAACATCGAACGCTATATTACTTGGGGATGCAACACTGGATTGATGCAGCAAATAATTAGTTACATCGGAACATTTTACCATTGCTTTTGTTAGAACATGCCATGCCCCATTTCCTCGAATTCTATGGGAAAAATCCAGCAAATACACACTTGAATAACTGATGCAGTAAGTAAAATTCCTAGAAAAGAAGGTCGGAATTTTCTAGGCACGAATCGCTTGAGTGTTTATTTTTCTATTCCAATCATCACGTTCATAAACCTTGGGATTGCTCAGTCCCCTTTAGAGCTTGCTTAGCTCTATCCAATATTATGCTAACGTAAGGATTATGCATCAGTTATGCATCAAGATAATAATTTTCAAGAGTGTTTTGGGGCCACTGAAAAAATATTTTCACTAGAAAAACAGATAGCCAAAAGGCCACAATCATTCCGTTATCGTCGCTGACTCTGAATAATTTCCACTTCAAATTGTCTCTATTTATTATGCCAGATAAGTTAAACATCTGTCTTCGCGTTGGTTCCTCGAGGATTTTATTAGATTTTCTCGAACCCACGTTTCCAAGGGAAAACTTCTATTACTCAAAGTGGCCCTTTCGAATGAGCTATATATTGCTAACAAAGGAATGGTAGGAAGTGGACGTAGCCAATTTGAACAAGAACAAGCTGCATACTTTCGAATACAACATAGAACGCTGACTCCAAGTCTGTCTTCCTTGTCTGCTAAACGCCTTCATAGAGAAAGTAGCCATTATCCTGCAGAGAAATCGTGTATAAAAAGTCAAATTTGGCCATACTACGCCATGTATAGCTTGATTCCGGACCAAAACATGCAGGATTTTTTTGCTTATTTACTGAAGATAAGCTAAAAAGGCAATGATGTGCCTGACTTCGCAGTTTTTATGTACATTTTCTTGCAAAAAAGTGCTAGTAACCCCTTCTACAAAGCCATCCAGCAGAGAAGAAAACAGAAGAGTTAGCGTCCCATGTTCACTCAGTGATATGCACTTGTCTGAATCGACTTCTGACCATTCCCTTGTAAGCGTAGTACCGTTCAGAGCCCATTGTCACCGTCCCTGTGCCGGTTGATGGAGAGGGCCAATTTGGGCAAACGACCGAGGCACTGTCCCTCAGACGGAGCGAGAATTGAAAACTGCATGAGTCGCTCAAATTTATCGGATTATCAAAGCTTTTCAACAAATTGCTAGGCGTCCTCGACGAAAGAGCGACACATTGACGTTGCGTGTGTGAAGAAACGATTCGCAACGGCAGTATAATGACGTTGACAACGGTTACCATTTTTACTACAACGGAGACAACAGCTGCCAATAGCGGCGTGGAATAGCGGTTATTACCAGCGGTAAATTCGCAGGTTAGTGAAAGACCGCGCATTCTAGAGGACCAGTGGCAACCAAAATTGAAGCAGAGGATACCGCACTCCGAGTATCGCAGTAGTAGTGCAGCAGTAGTAGTGTCACGTATCGCAACTCGAATGCACCATTGCTGTAAAAGGCATGATTAAGGTGGTTTTCGACATATTGGTACAAGCATTCAAAGCCGCAGACCACTTCTTTGCAGGTTAAGGTCATCTTAACAAACATGCCGGGCATGCGCATGATGGCTTCAGACGATATCACAGTGAAGATACGGTCAAAGACGTGAGGATGGAGAGATCCCTGCATCACAGAAGTCAAAGCACACGACCCAATTATTGCACGCATTTTTTGGGAAACGAGAATCAGAATTGATTACAGATGCGAGTGAAGATCACTCATCTCATTGTCATGTCGACTACTGGATGCTGAACGAATGGCCCAGCTTGATGATGGCAAACATTGTAGTCATACCTACAAGACGCGCATCCACGCTGAAACGTTGCCTGTCGTGTTAGTCTTCGACTGAACATCCACGTGCATCTACGAGCCATGAAGTTGACGACGGGGAGAATGAAGTAGTGAAAGCTTCGAGTATTGTTGAAGCAGCTACTGCGCTTACTTGGCATCTTATGAACGAACCATTGCGGAGAAAAGCAAAGTTTAACTTTAGTGTCAGGGCTAAAACTAGCTTAATGTAAGAGTTTCCAGGTTGTTTTTTGTTTCCCGAACCGAAGTGAGACGCTCAATGGCTGAAAACTTATTTCAGAATTTCTACCGTAATCTTACAGCAACGAATAGCAAGGTAGTTGCTCTATACTGATCTAAGTTGAGGTCAGCCCTATAATATGGCTTTTGAGAAAAAGGTGAAAGTTCTTTGTATAAAAAAGTTATTAGAGATCAAACGTTTGACACATTATTTTAGGTTAGACTGTCTGTTGATGTCCGACAACGAGCGAAGCAGGACATTACTGTTATGTACATCCGAGAACGCGGAGAGTAGTCTTCTGACAAGAGGAAACAATACTCAGACGAGCGAATATCACGAAGTTCTATGCAGAAAGGAGTTCCTACATACGCTAGTCCCACGAAGAATACCAATCCCTTAGCGGATGTTAGAAAAAAAGTTGGGCGGGCAAGTTGTCCATAGTGTAGTGCCAGGAGGACGATGTACCTGCTGGGATGGAAGGTGATGGGACAAAGTGGAGTGTCTTCTCTCATCAATCTTCAACGGATCATCATTGAGCGGAAGGAACCACGTCTCGTCATGTGTAACACGATCTTTCTATTGAGGGACACGGGCGACGTCAGTGAATTACGACATGCCGGCGGATACGCCTCCTACGTTACACGATGAAGACTCTCAGGCGAGTCATCGACACAGCACTCGGAAGATTCGTGGAAATCACTCCAAATTAAGGTAGTTTCGTGAAAGTATCTGGAAGGTCCTTTCAAGGTCATCCATTGTGTTCGACTACTGATAGACCACCATCCGAGGCTGATATTCATTTCGCGATTTTTGATTTGTAAAAAGCAATTGATCAAAAACCCGCAAGGATTGACCTGCTGCTCTAATACAACACTATGTTCCAGAAGAGTACATCCGCCGGATTACTGCTTCACGAGAAAAACGATGGCTGAACGCTACGCACTTGAGACATCGCTGGCATTCCTAATCCGTGTAGGAGTACATGAGGAATCGCTTTTATCGCTTCTGCTTTCCAATTGTGCATGGATACGGTTACAGAGGACAGTCAGCTACTAGACATTCTGCGAATGACCCCTATCTGGCAAAGGAATTGATGCAGGAAACCAGCAGAACAATCAGCATAGGACAGCCACTTAAGGCGCTCACCATTTTTGAATGCCTGATCCTGAGTAGCGTCGGATACGAAACAATCACCTACCAAAACGAACGCGGTGAGCTAAAATACCGTCAAGTTCAAGTAGCGGGTGTACTATACTATCAACGAATTCCATGTACCTTAAATCAAAAGTTGATTAAGCAGGGCACAACCACTGCCTTGTACGGAACAACTGAGCTCGGCGAATGACAAGGAAAGTGGAACTAGAACGAAAGCATATCTTTGGATGCGCCCTGATGAGCTGAATACAAATCTACCTTCTGTATCTGCTGAACAAAACACTAGAAAAGGGTTATAAGTTGTTAAAAGTGCGACTTTATTGGGGTTTCAATGCATGATGTGCTTCAAAATCCAACTCGGGAGTGCCTGATTAGCATGATGTTGAGCGTACTGATTTTCAGGAAATCTCACCTTACGAATACCGATGTATGGCAAAGCTTTGAAGTTGCTCCGAATGCGGAAAAATAATATATGTATGTGTATATATATAAAATGTATTAATTTTTTGGGATATATATCACCGGAACTGTGTACTGTTTGCGGAAATATAGATAACGGACAAAGGATAAAGGATTCGGAGTCTTTCGTACCTACTGCCGGCATGAGCCGAACGCACATTACTTCATAGTCAAAGAGGCTATTGAATGCTATTGGGGGGGGGGGGGAAACCACTGCGGTTATATACGTATATCTGCTTCTGGCATTTCAATTTGATGGAAGTAATTCGATTTTGTGAGAAAAACATTCTTGTCTTTGAAAAATGTTCAAAAAATCACATTCATTGCTATTGCAAGTGAACAAAACCTATATTGTTGCCGAATAAGTGATTTCGAGAAACTGGACTTCGACCTCGATCAAAATGGGAAATTTTGAAGACTTCTAACCCGAATCTTAATCTTGGTTAAGCATTATCTGCTAAACGCTGACTTTGCAACAAACAAATCTCACTATTAAAGCAATCTCGAAAACCCTAAACCCGAAATTTGGTCGTGTTTGGAGCAAACTCACTTCTGAACTTCGATTTTGAAAGTTTTTTTTTAAATTCTGACTTCAGCATCTGTAGCGACACTGAACAAGGGGGCGGTGCTTGCCATGTCTTGATCTTCTGAGGAGGTCATTATTGTAGCGACTTTGAATGTGCCTGGCATTCACATCACTTAGGTGCGAGAATATGGCTAGGGTGAGAAACTTCCGCCTCCCGGGTAGTCGTTGCGGTCCCATAAATTTCTTCTGAGGAATTCAGTCGCCAAAGCTTTGCCAATCTTTGTAAGCCTAACCTTAGGGGCATCGTACTAGCAGTTTTTGCAAAATGTCTAGCTGTTCAGTATGCAGAAATTCAGAAAATTCTATATTTGGGACTTTGAGGCACACTGAAAAAATGTTGAAGAAACTGACAATTTTAGAATTTAATTATTTCCCTTTTCGCAAGTTTTTTTCTTGAAATCCTTTTCATGGTTTTTTGTACTACTGGCTTGCGGCTACAAGATAAGTCACTTGCCGTTTATAATAGCGAAGCTTGGAGGATGTTATGAATTGCCAAAAACAAAATTTTAAAAAACTTTTCTGTTTGTTAAATCATATTTTTCTGCTTGTTTGTGTTTTGAGTACAAGTAAATAGGCATTGCATTGCAGAAGGTTTGGTGCTTCTGATGATCAGTAGCGCATTCGGAAATGTGATTTTTTCAAAACGTTATAGCACGTCAAAGTGAGAATTCGCAAAACGGCCATTACTTTTGCATAAATCTAATACTTACATGAGTTATAAAAGTGCAAGTGGCTTGTTCAAACTTATAATTGATAAAAATAATTTTTGAAATTTTAATTTCTTAGGGAAAAATTTTTTTCGGAGGCGTGCCTGACGCCACGCCCCCTTCTGGAAAACTGGAATTAAAGCCCTGAAAATTTTAGGAAGCATACCAAAATTTTTCGGAGTGCGTGGCTGACCAGCACTCCGAAAAATTACGCACCTTCCTCGGGAAAAATACTTGTGGCGTCCTCTCCCCCCCCCCCAAATGGAAATCCTGGGTACCCCACTGCCTCATACCACTAATTCGCTCGTCCCAGCTGAAAAGTAGCTATACTCATGATAGGAGACACACGACTCAAAGACTTCCCCGTGAGTACTACCATGATCACCTCAAATGCTGAAATTCGGATCTGCTGTGCATTCAAAAAGTTGGGACGTACTCTACCATTGAATTTAATTGCAAAGAAGAGCCTTTATTTTCACAGCAAACCGTTTAGCATATATAAAAGCTTTTTGTGCTTGATTGTAAACTGCTCTCCTCGTTAGAGGAGAGTTTCTACATGGATAAGAGGCTGAAACGCAGTTTGGCTTTTTGGATATGGAGAGTTTAGCGTGAAAGATGTTAGGCAGAGATGCACTTACACATATTTTTTACAGTCGAAACAACTAGAAGCCAAGGCACCAAAAAGCGCGGAGCACGTAAGTTCCCTGATCCGCAAGCTAAGCAGATATACCTTTTTCATGACAGGCACCTGACCCCAACGCTGGACCCTCTGTAAATAGGGTATGTGGAAATTAGTGCAAAACTCAAATGAAAATTTTTTTATCAGTCCGTGAAATCGAAAGTTGAAGACGATGGTGGCTATGAGTCCTGCCCTGACATGACACCGTCCCAACTGGCCAAAGCTGCGAAGCTGCAAGACTGAGATTTTCAAGAACTTCGGAAACTAAACATATCGATATATCATTGAATGTTCTCTCTAACGTTTCTGATAAACGATTTGATTCCTCGCATCCTTTTGTAAATTAGCTTGATTGATAGCAAAACTATGGAATGTCGTGTGCATGAAATGGGAACTTTTTTATTGCATATTTGATGGCAACAAACAAGATGCAACTAGCATCATGTTTAAAAAACTGTGCACTGAATTTGGTGGATTAGCAGATATCTGGCGAGTGGCCGACGATAGCGATTCAGTGGAGGCAATCGGGGTATGACCGAAAGCTTAAAGGCCTGCCGGGGGGGGGGGGGGGCGGATTTGGTAGGACCTCAGTCTCACCGGATTATTACAGCAGGCTCCCCATATTAGCCATAGCTCGACTGCGGGTGGATACCGTTTCTGAAGGCCTTAATCGCTTCAGAAGTTTGGTACAGCAATTAATCGCTCCTCGAAGCCTCGCCATTACCGATGCAAGAAGGGCCGAGAGAAGCGTCAGTTGCATTGGCTGCGGCGACATGTTCATACCCTGCTTTGGTGTGGTAAGGAAAAAAATTGGTCGAGGGCCATTATGTCGGAACTTCTGAAGCGATTGTCTCGCTCCAGAAGCAGTATTTTGCAGTATCAAGCAGCGGTGACCTGCATGAGGAGCCCGCTTCATTAATCGTTCAAGGTGTTCTCAAATATGCCCAGACACTGCCTTTAGGAATGTGCATATATCATGATGCGCTATGCTTTACATATCACAGCCAATTTTCATAGATTTATAGTTCAAGCATTAAGCACACGTCGCTCTGCTAAGCCATTACATTGATATCTTCTCATTGAGTGTGCAGCAGTATGCGTTATTCTCCTTTCTACGAGCACCAGTCGTTAATATGAGTTCAACAGAAGTTCATAATCTTGAAATTGTTGAAGTAATGGTATGTAATAAAGTGCACACGCAAATTTTTTCTCTGTGTACTGTATTTTTTGCACATATTACTAAAACGCGCTCCCTGTAGTTTACGCTCAGTTCATGAAACCCTAATTCCAAAGTAAGGCTAGTAAACTCACTTCTGCACAATGTGCTTCCATGGAATGAACGGGTGAGAATTTATGTTATACTGAAATGTTTAGTTTCTGCATGCAGGAAGTTCGGAAAGTCGGCTAAATAGCAATATAAAGCAGATGAATCATGCTGACGCTGTAAGAACTAGCAGTATCGTACGAGCTCATGAGATTTCTCAATATCGAAGATCTGTCTCCAGCTAGCACTTTAAAAATGGATCAAACTGACCCATTTATTCGAGATTCTTCTTTTATTTATTTATTTATTTATTTATTGTTACATAGGGTTGCCCCTATGTGAGAATCAAACAGAACCAGAAAAAAAAAGAAAAACAACACAAAACAAAGAGAACAACAACGAAGATTAACAATGACAAGATCATCCAACCTGAGGTACACCAGATCATCACAAACAGCTTTTTGATTGCAAGTAACTCTTTATATTGGTCTTGAACGTTGATAGCTTGACAGTTAACATTCCATTTCTTACCATTTCATCGAGGTCAGAATATACGCGACAACTAAAGAAGTTTTCTCTCAGTTTTGACTTTGCTCTTGGTTTTATCAGCTTTACATGCCCACCACGAGTGTTGGAAGGTCTAGCGGAAAAGTAATCCTTGAGGTCGAGTCTACATTCCCCAAAAATGACCTTATGAGCCAGAATCAAATCAAATTTGCGCCTTCGGTATGCTAATGTCGACAGCTTAAAATTCAAGTTACGAGTCTTTCCATCAGGTATCTGGTCATATGATAAACCGGTAGTTCTTATAAATAATTTACGCGTAAAACTGTTCTGAACTCTTTCAAGATAGTTGATTGTTTTGCGCAAATGAGGGCTATATATAGAGGTACCGTATTCTAGCATAGGTCTTATGAATGTCTTATAAGCTTTCAGGAACACCTCAGCTTTATTGCACGAGAGTGCTCTAAACAAGTTATAAACGGCCCTCATAGCAGTATCCGCAATAATTTTACAGTGCTCATCAAATGTGAGATCATTCCTAACTAGGAAGCCCAAATCACGCACAGATGTGACTGTTTCTAGGGAGACTCCTCCCAAGGTGTATAGGTACGCATGATTACTCGAACCTATATGAAGCACCTTCGTTTTCTCTCGAGAAATGGGCATTTCCCATTCCAGCGACCAAGCATACACATCGTTCAAGGAATTTTGCAACAATTCTCGTCCGTTGTCATTCATCACCACAGCGTACAATTTAAGATCATCAGCAAATGCAGTACAAGAGACTCCTTTAGAAAGTGGGATGAGACAAAGGTCGTGGGTATAAATATTAAATAATATTGGTGAAAGAACACCTCCCTGCGGCACTCCACTACTGATTTCTCTTGGCTTAGAGAAGGAACCATTGATTCGTACAACAAAAGATCTTCTCATCAAGAAGGCTTTAATCCAAGCAATGATACGCGGATGTATACCTACAACTTCGAGCTTTTGCAGAAGTTTCTTATGCGGAACTTTGTCAAAAGCCTTGGCAAAATCCAAATAGATAACGTCAATGTTAAATCCATCCTCAATTTGTCGCATCCATTCATTCAAGGAATGGAGCATAGCAGTTGTGGTAGAACTGCCTTTTTAAAACCCGTGCTGAACAGGATTTATAACGCTGTACCTCTCTAGATGTTTTGTTATGCTTTTCTTCAAAATTTTCTCAAGTAGTCGGGCAAAGATCGATGTTATACTAATAGGCCTATAATTCCTAGCGCAAGTATAAGGTTTCCTTTTAGGTATAAGTGTAACAAAAGACAAACGCCACCTCTCGGGACCCTCAGCTCTTATCATACTCAAGTTGAATATGTATTCAAGAGGACCACAGATTATATCCGCGACAGCTTTGATGAGCTGCAATGGCAAGAAATCTGGTGTTAGGGAAGTGGATTTTGGCCAACGCATCAACAGTTTGTAAATTTCATCACGATAAAACCATACCCCCTCCTCCATTGTTTCGAAGGTTGCAGTGGACTGATTATGACTGAGACCGGTTTCGATTTGAAATACTTTTTCAAAAACATCAGCTAAACATTCAGCTTTTGCTACATCCGCAGTGATGACTGCGCCATCGTCAGAACAAAGAGGCCCAAGACTACTTTTTCTTTTGAGTCTGGAGCTGATCATCTTGTAAAATAGTGATCTATTACCACTGCTTACAACCTTCTTTTCAACAGAGGAATTGTATTTTCGTAGCTTCTTTCGGAACCTAGCATCAAGTTTGGAGTAAGTGTCCCACTGCACATTTCCCCCAATCTTGATTACTTCCGTCCATGCTCGTTGTCTACTGGCGTGAAGAGCGCAAAGGTGTTTCGGCATCACATGTCTGATCACAGGGACTGTGATTAAGGGGACATACAAATCAATGCTATGATGCAGTATGAACAAAAAGATTTCATACATCTCGTTGACGGTGTTTACCGTAGCAAATGAACCATACCAGTCAACACCAGATAAATATTGCCGCAACCCCTGAAGATCAGCATGCTGCGCTCAAATTTATTAATAAATGGTAAAGGTAGATAAATAGATAAAATAATCTATCTTGAGGACTCCCATATCATACATACATAACTAGTGGAGCTATATGTGTATGCTTATGTGGGAATGCATAGTGCAGTGGTAGTGGTCCATGTTGGCAGCATGAGCTCAAAGGATCAATTCCTCACTAGCGCAGTGAAGAGTGCGTGCCACTGTAGTGCTCATCGGTGAGTACAAATGGAGAAATCGAGGCACAGGGGCCATCTGAGCGCAGACTTTACATTTGATAACTAATCAACTAGAAGTAGATCAAAGTAGATCGCGAATATTTGGTCATAAATAAAATTGTATGTGATTTAGTACGATTTACAACCTGATATCGGTTTAAATAACAAAATCACCTTGAAATTATGCAAAGTCACATTTCAAGAGATACCGATATACATGGAATATGTATCAGCTTTTGTCACAATTTGTAACCTTGGTCATAATTCTATCTGAGCCCATTTATTCTAGCTTCTACGAGTTTACACTTTTCAAAATTACATTCAGTCATCTAATTGCTATTTGGGTACTTGTTAAAAGTTAGTATTTGGAAAACAATCCTTTACATTTGAATAAGAAGGAAATCCAAGTTTGTTTTGAGATTCTTTATTTGTGGAATGGCTAAAAAATGGCCGTGCAAGTAATATTTTCCTATGTTCATGTAACCTTCATACGTTTCAATCCTCCTACGATTTGTTTTACTAATGTCCAAAACTACCTCTGGAACATGACAATTTTGGACAATGTGAAAAGTATATAGCGCTCCACTAAAATTATGTGGAACTGTCTAAATGTGAGGAAGCTAGAAGGGCTAAATCATTCCCTTTTCGTTCTCAACCGACGCGATTTCCACACTCATAATGACTCCCATCTACCGAATTTGTTCATATCCCTCCAGTAGGGCTCAGTTCCAGCGCGAACTGCCTCCTTTTTATAGGCTCAATTTCGGCGACTTTTGAGTGACAGCCGGACATTCTCAGTGAATGACAGGGCCGCTCGCATACAAACGAAAGAGACGACATTAGGAGAGCTAAGACGAAGAGACGGTAGTTGGTAAACGAAGCCTAGTCTAGTCCACCAGAAGCTAGAAGAAGTGCAGTCCGTGTGCATCCTGAACTACTGCTCCCTTGTACCCTGTAAACCGATGGTGGACCGAGAGAGGGCGAGCTCCCTCCCCTGCGTTAATAAGCCATTTTTCAAAGTGGCCCATGAAGACTGTGAAAAATGCACACAAATGGCTTCTGTGAACAATCAGAATAATTCTTGAAATTTTCAAAAATTCAATTTAGCGTTTCAAAAACGTTCCTAGCGGATGGAGAGAAATCTGTAAAACACCCAAAATTTTTTGAAAGATGTGCTAACGCCACGCTAAATAAAAATAGAAATTGTTGTGCCTTTAGCGAAGAAACTTTTGTAGCCACTATTTCAATCTCATTTCAGATAAAGTTGATATAGTACATACGCTGAATCAAATTTGATCTTGAATGCGTAAGCCTATGCTGACACAATAATAAGTACAATTGAAATAAGCTTGAAAAAGCCAGTTCCGTACTTGCACATCCGTGGTGACGGCGATACTTCAGGAAACGTGCATAATCTGCGAATGAAAAATATTTACAAAGTTAATACCTAAATCTCACGAAATTCTGACGAATGGAATATTTGAATGGATATTAAAATTATTAGATCTCTATGATTTCTGTTGTACTTATGATCTCATCATAAGCACAACAGAAGCTTTCAAGTATTTTTGACATCAGTGGGACAATTTAGTATAATGCAAACTGCACTGGAAATCCGTGAACGCGTTTGAAGGCATTTTCTCCTGTGACCGTATTCATCAACAACCCTTGTGAATTATCTTAAAGGGGCTTAGGTGATTTTATACGTTAGAATACAAAAATAGCTCATTCTGAGTTGATTTCTGCTTGCAAATACGTTTAGGTAGTGGTGATCCCGTATGATGTCGACTTTACTCAAAATTTGTTGATTAACACGGGCTTTGCTTGCTTTCATCCTCACTGTTGTTCTTCAATCCCACTATTTCACTCAATGACCAATTTTTAATTTTCGGTTAGATTCGGTTTGGTGACCGAACAACCGAAGGACTTGCCAAGAGAAGCATTTCAACAAAAATCGAAGCATATAATGTGTTTACAGAAATTTCAATGGGTTCAGAAGTATTTAAATGGCCATTATTTACATGTTAATCTCTGGTTTACTTTACTCGATCATTGAGCCATTCGTCGCACGTTATTTGAACAACTAACCAATTTGAAATACATTCAGAAACTATTCTTTGAGCAAGAAAAATGTACTAGTCTGCAATGTATCATCATTACTGTCGTGCTGAGTATTGCCCTACTGCTTTTACCAATGAAAAAAAAAATTCATGAGGCTGAATAGCTTATAGAATAAAAGGATGTGATCAACTACTTTAACAGCCTCGGTTTCAAAAGCCCTAACTAAACTTCAATCTGTGCAGAGCTTCCGCTTAAGATGAAAAATAGAGTGGTGTTGTCTCACTGAGCAACTATTTTTATGTTTATTCTGCCGTTTTTCATCTACATGAGTGCAGCTAATACTTCTTGTGAATTCGTATTTTTGTTTGATATACTAGACGGTCCTATGGATTTTGCTCCTCAGCTCCCTTGTCCCTCTTTCCCGTGAATGTTTTTTAGAACAAATCCCTACTCGACAATATGCTTTTGAATTTTGCGCTATCTAATGTTTACAAGTACGATAGGTACTTTTAATGGCACGGTGTCGAGTCGTGGAGGAATGCAAAGTGATTCCTCGGTATCAGTTCTCAAGACACCTTCTTGCTTCTAGATTTTAGATTTGTACAAAGATGAGTACATATAGAATTTTTACGAAATGTTGTTTTAAAACAAATCCTCGACTCGACAGCATGCCGTTGGTTTTTGCGCTACTCAATGTTTCATGTATAATAAGTCAGGTCGTGTTGATAGTACCGGTGTCAGCTCATGGAGGAATACAAAGTGATCTTACTCCTTGATATCATTCTTCAGAGCAATGTTTGCCTCTTCCAAATTTAGTTTGTGCAATGACGAGTACATATAGAATCTTTACGATTTGCCATATAACATGTGAACGCCATTCCAGTACAATCCAGAAACTCATTACTTCCATGAAATACAGCATTGAGAACGAGGAAACGACTAACACCTTGCACTATCATCAAAAGTCCCACAAGGGCGCGACAGGGCTGGAAGGAGTGCGCCGCTTCGTGGACAAGCGAACAACCCAATGAAGCTATGAAAACGTGAAGAATAAGAGGAACACACACACAATCAACAAACGAAGAAGCAGAATAGACCCTGTGTGGAAAAATGGTGTGCCATGGAGAGCGACAAACGAAACTCGAGTAACTAGACCGTGGATACACATGCAAGAACACTAGAACGAAGATGTCATGAAGAAAATGTCGTGGACAGAACAAACGTCGATTGGAATAGACCGATTTCCTTAGATCGATGAGAACTGAGCAGACGCGTTGAGAGGGTGAGCCAATATCACTCACGTATAATACACATTGTGGAAGCGAATAGTAATAAAATACGTAGAAAAAGGAAATTACTGGAAAGACATCGCTAAGCTACACAATTGGGATGTGCGGCCGACTATCAGGGGCCGACTTCTTTGCAAACTGCGGCAGAGTTGTTGGGATGCGAACCCAACGTGAATCCGAAGGCATACCGAATTGACTTGCACGACCTCATCCCTCCATACCATGCGTCGACGATAACAGGCTAGGATCCATCCATGGTGCGGCTCCCGCCGATGGGAAGCCCATCATTCCCATCTGGGGCATGAACGGATTCGCCATTGCTCTCAAATAAATGATTCTTAGTTTTAGCACTTAACAAGATTAGATTAACTCTTCACAGAAGAAGAGTATAGAATTTCTTATATAACATCGACAACTTACGGATTCGGGAAGGCGCTGTAAGGAGCCGTTGGAAACATGGACCGCTGCATGTTGTAAATATCTGCTCCGGGGTAGGCCATAGGCATGGTAACGGCAGCAGCGGCGTCAGGGGAGTAGCCCGCACCGAGGTCTAAACGATGAAAATATGTAAAGTGTCAGAAGTTGGTAACTTGGAATTGACCAATCAAAGTTTTCAGCACAAGCGAAGGTGCTCAAAAAATCTTCGAGATGAGAAACGCTAACCAAAATGTTGCGTAGAAAATTCAATACAAGTTTGTGCGTTAATAAGTGGACCACAATATACGTATTATCGTTTTCTTATCTCTGGGTTATGATTATGCTGGACAGCTCGGAATTGTTCGCTCGGAGAAAAGTTTGTCTTTCATAGGAACGAAAACAAGCAAAATTAATTTCCACTGGAGCCGTTTCAATTTAGTGATTTTTACCTGGGCTGGGTCCAGGGCTCTGGTCGCTTCTGTTGCGCCTTCGATTCTTGAACACACTCACTGCTGGCGCTCTTCCAGCGCGATTACTTTGATCTATCATTGGTTGAACAATTCGTCGCCGAGCATTGATGAACCTGAAATAAGGCGCTGAAATTTGTAATAAAGTGACTGGATTGTTTGAGAGAAGTTTTGCAATACCTGATCATTTTGAGAACATTTTGAAGTTACCGACACATTCCGACAATGTCAATAACATCCCCATTCATTCGAAACAACTTTCTCACTCGCACACGAGGCAGTCCTAATTTTTAGCGAAGCAAGTTAGTGCTGATCGCGTTGCGATTGAGAGTGCGATAAGATCTCTTCGCAAAGCCTCACTCACGACGCGATAGCTCCCACTCTCACACTCTACAAATCGGACGTAAATCGCGTTTATGACGGCTCACTACGGGGCGCGGAAATCGTAAAGCGAGTTGCGATATCAGCAGCCAACCATACGCAACAACTTAGCGTCGCAAGTGTCATAAATAGTTTTTATGAGCGAGTAATGGCCTCTGAGGTTAGTAGCGATCGTAAACGTACTGCCTCAGAATTACAAGACAAGCTTTGGGTCTCGTGATACCTACAGTAATACGTAAAGAGTCGAAAGAGTCATTACTAACGCTGCAAAAATGCCCGAGCAAAAATGCTACTTCGCAACATGTTTCATAGAAAATGAAAAAATAATAATATAGTGGTTCATATAGGCAACCGGTTTTCAAATATTACCGCCGGTCGCAGAGTTTCGTAAATGGCCGTTAGAAATTGCTGTAATTTTTCACACTCTCACACTCATCAAAAAATAATGCAGAACTATCGTCTTCTAAGAATTAAAAAAAATGATGGATTATATGACCAACCAGTTCTCAAATACTATTACCTGTCACCGTCCAGAACTTTATTAGATTGTTCGAGATTGCTGTAATTTTTCACAGTCTAACTTACAAGAAATAAAGACCCATCGAAGTTTGCGCTCATTTTCTAAAGCATGACTGCAAATCCAATGATTCACCTGATAGTCATCTAGCCCTCCGTATAAAGGATTTTTTTAAGAGTTGCATTATTTTCGGAACTCAGTATACTTATAGATATGATCCCAATTTCAGAGACCTACACTGTAAAAAAAGAACTGAAGAAAAAATTCATGTTATCTCAAATTCCGGCATACATCTTGTGCTCGATATGTTGCATAGGGAAGTCAACTAATAAAGAATTCCATTCACAACATTTATTTATTTATTTTTTTGATTTTCTGTTTTGCATATACTCTAAATCAAGTCATTTTCAGATTTGGACTCACAAACAAATGTTCATTTACGGGTAATTAGTAATAAGAGCGTTCATTTGATAAAACAATCCTACCAAAGTCAATTATTATTCAAATATTTTCAATACTCTAAAGGCATCCCTATATTGGTAGATATCGAATTTATATATGGACATGCCGAACTTACAGTTAATTAGTAATTCAAACGATAATAAACTGAATTGAGCAAAACTTGAGGTATTGCGATTCTCACTAATTGTTAAATTAGCTAGCCAGAATCGATAGGAATGGCGTCTAAATCAGGCACGCATTCATTTGACTCAAGTTACATGGAAAGCGTAAAAATCGTATTTTTCAACTATAAGGCTAGGTCTAAAGCTTTTAAAGTTTCCGCCCCTGCAGGAAGTCATAAATCTACAACCGCATTCAATCTGAGAGTAACAGAACAGCAGATAGATCTTCAGCACATCTTCGCCTGACAAGTAATCGTTCAAACGACGACGACACCGTGATGGCGCACTTGTCAGGCGCTGTCAGCGGATTCAGACGCATCGTTGACAACGATTTCAATCACGCCATCAAACACCACATCTACTCTCTGCTATCATTCAAAGTCGTGCTGCTGCTGATGCTGAATGGAATGAGGGGCCCGAAGTGACGACGCGGCCGCAAAACTTGGCCATTAATCAAGATCGTCTCATTCATCGACACGCACATTTGCAGTCAAGTGCAGGCCACTAGCTTGTATATGCACATGGTTGTCCTAGAACAAGTGCGACAGCAAGCGCTTCTGATCTACTTTGATCTACCCCCCCACCACCACCATCAGAACATTAGTCCCCCGCTTTGTAGGCTCCTCTGGACTAGGGGTATCATTTCGACTCATGTCTCTGTCGCTGCTCTCTCAGTGTTGTCAGCGCGGCCAGCTGCCGTCATCCATCACTGCCAAGGCTGGCTGCCTTTCGCTATCCGCCCGCTCCCCGCCGTCCGTGCACACTCGCCCCGTCCAACACGCTGACGTCCCCGCGCGCTGCGCTATGTCTCGCCCCGTCAAGGCCCGCGCGGTTACGGTAATCGACGAGGGAACGCGCCATGGCCAGCACTGTTGCCGACGACGATGCTGCGATTGCTGCGTCAGATTAACACAATATCGTATTTCGCTAGCATTAACATCGTTCTCTGGACACATTGCTGGTGCCAATGAAAGCAAAATGAAAGCAAAAACCTAATTTGGATAAATTTTACTTAAATTGAGGGTTATGTTGTTCAAGATCTATTGAATCTGCTACTCAAAAAATTGTCAGAAGAAGTATCTCAAACAATCTGATAATTTCAAGAAAACCTGGAAAATTTCAGAAAACCGAAACAAAGGTAAATCTTCTGCAGGAATAATCATAAAGGTTTCTATATTTACAGAAAAGTTTCACTAGATTTTCAAGATCAAAAGAAGGTAGCTGTATGACAAGCTATTGAGCTCAAACAAAAATGCGATACTGGTTCGAAAGCAAGTAAAAAAGTAGAAACTGCTATCGTGTGTAGTTATATAATATTTTGATTTGTTATAGCACAGATGTTCCCTGGAGGTAAATAGGTAGATGCAGAAAATTCCTGAATTCTAGGCATTTGATGATTTTTTCGACTCATTGAACGCGACTTATATTGCGCTTGCAAATTTATCTCATGCTCGTAATCCTTGGTAAGATCCAGCATCAACTATTTCATTTTTTTCCGCAACTTTGCATCTCTTGCAACATAATCAACCGACCATCATCAATCCCTGGAATCGCTGCTGCGAAGAGGCGACCTATGTTCCCATTAACTCTAACGATCTGCCTCCAAAAGTGCAATTGCGTGCTCGGATTCAAAAAGGTGGTGGTGGTGTGCGCGCGTTGCGCCGGCGGCGGCGCGACGCCAGTAAAAAGGCCCGCGACTTGATTGATCACCTTCGTTATCAATTCGAAGGCGAAGAGGCCGCAGAGAGGACGAAACAATGAAGCGCACCGCTCTCCCCAGGGGTTCGCTCCGCCGCTACCCAATTGACATTTCGGAAACAAAACATGACTCTTCGACAAAGTGCGCGCCGCGCGAACGCTGCCGATTCGGAACATTTTCGGATTTCGGATCTACCGTAATCCCTCACTTCTTCTGAGCTTGTTGGGCATGTTGCAAGAGGTTTCAAAATGTAGCAAGTATGTGCTTTGTGGTTATTTACAGCCACAGATTATGTGAACGACGTGCGCTTGCAATTACCGACCGGCGGTGAGCCTTTGAACGCAGCTCAACCGCAAGTCATTGGTGATTCATTGCCTCGTTCTTATTGTTATGTATTACTACATGATAATGAATTATCCGGGCAACTCCGACAGAGCATTTGCAAAGTAATAGAATGTTGCAATCGAGAATGAAAAATCAAGAAAAATTAGCCTCATAAAAGACGAAAAAGGTGAGACGAAAAACATGGAGCTCTCATCTCAGTAGTCACTGGGAGAAAAAGCAAAGAATAAAAATATTTCGGTTCCTGTTGCCAAGATCCTATTTTATCAAAGTTGAAGGGTATATCAGTGAAATTATATTGAGAAAGCAGAAAGCGAATTTGCATGTTGAAAAAATTCAAATTGCTATTTTACGATCACAGCTCTGATTGTGAGATCAGATTTTTTGAAACTTCCGTGGAAATTTTTGTAGACCTTTTCATCCATATTTCTATGTAAGCCATCAATTCAGTCTGAGATTTGTGCGTCGAATGTTGTCGTTTTTTCTAATTTTGATGGTAAAAATACCCCCTTTATGGCTACCAAGTGAGAAATGTGGAAATCCTAAGATTACCTCGAAAAATAGCCCCCACCAACACAGATCCTTAGAATTTGAGATCCGTCCCTTAAGAGGTAATCGCCGCGTGACAGGCGGCACGCGAACGTCACTCACACTGTCTTTTCAGAGGCCACATTTGAGAAGCGAACAAAGGTAGTTTGAGCATGCTGTAATTAACCCTCCGTCAGCAGAACTGTAGACAAAATAGAGCCGGTAACAGGGCAATCTGTGAGGGGAAAAACTGGATCTTTACCCAGTTACCCCCGTCACAAGCACCGCAATTATGTATAGCTCGATTTTCACAGCCCCAGATACTCTCACAGTCCCCGAGTTGAGCAACCAAATGTGTGCAACCCCAGCAAGCACAGATAAGCGGGTTTACAGTAATTATTCACTTTAGCGCATCATATTCGTGTTAGGTCATGCGTAGTTAAATGTGAGATGATCGGCCATTATCGTGCACGATCAGGCGCCATACGGCATGACTTTCGCCACCATTGCGCGGTCGCCGGTCTCGCATTACCGGCCGTGTGATTGCGCGCACGGTGTGTATCGTATCGACGCTGGTGTCAGTGCGACTTTGCGGCCGATTACGCGCCTTAATCCAATCAAATTAGGTAACTTGAAATATCGCCACCAAAGGTGTGCCGCGCAAGTGCAAATAGAAACAATGAATTAGTCAAACAAGCACGGGAATATCGGGACAAATGAGATTTGAAAGTGACCCAGCGATAAGTGGATGAAGTCAGCTTACAGTCAGATTGTGTTGATTTTTCTATAAAAAAATGATTAGCTTCGCCCATAAACTGTCAACTTTTAAGCATTAGTGAGAGTGTTATGAAATGTTGAACAAAAAAAATTGTTGGTTTTATTCGAAGTGCAACAGCAAGTACCCGCAAAAGGAAAACGAGCTATTGTTTCCAAATTCTAGAAAAAGGATTTTTAGAGTTGATGAGGTGAAAAAAATAAGACGTGGGATTATACACAGTCTCTATGCGAACTGTAGGAAAACTTTTGGAAAATTTCTGAGTGACCGCTGTTATCAAAGTGTGAGTAAATCTGTTGTAAAAAAAACCTAATACGATGGCATTTTATAACAAGTTTTAAAGCGAAAAGATTTGTACATAATTCCTTCAAAGTGTACTGTTGTCCTTCAGAAAATGCCCAAAAAATCCTCTGTGCTCAAACCACAAATTAAGCTTCCCCCTTAAGTTTGATTCGCTCGCACATTGAGTGCAATTGCAGACTGCGCTAATCGCAAGTTTTTATTCCAAACGATTTCTGGAATTTTCTCCGGTTTTCGCAAGCCGTTCTGTGGTACCAAATCTTGTTGCGTTACAAGATATATTTTTCGTTCGCACTACATAGTGTGCAATTGCACATATTGCAACACGTTTATAGTTCTTTCTCTGACTAGAAATCCAAAATGCTGCGTATCGTGTGCTTGACAGGTCAGAACGTGTGCTTTAACTCGTTATGAACTGCTGAGACATTTTGAGACCAAGTTCAAACTTGTAAAAATATGCTTAGTATGGTCAACTGTCCTCTACTGGATGATGCACTTGCGACGTATGATGTGCAATTCACATTAGTACACGGCGACTTGACTATATATAACCATGTGTTACTCACCAGTTATTGACTTGCAAAATGGTGAGACCCGTGTCGTTGGCGAGTTGTTTCTTCTGCTCTTCTGATGGATACGGATGCTGAAAAAAAACAAACAGTAATCGACTCTTCTCGTGTTTTGGCTGGAAGACAGATGAAGGCGTCAGTCATCCTGACGCGAACGCGATGTGATTTCTCGCATCTAGCACGATGCCGCCGTCACAATGACGCGCGTTAATTTTCGCGCTGTCGCTCATGAGAAATGGAAACGTCGGCCGGCAAAAGCGATTTATCGAGAATAATGAACCCGAACGTTTGCAAAAGAGCGTGATTCGTCTTCTCGATGTCCACACACACACGCGCTGAACTGAACTGCTGCCGATGAACTGCACCCGAACGCACTCGGCTGACACGATTGATGTGGTGACAAAAATGTCAGATGAAAGTGATGATAGTAGTGATTGAGATTGAAAGCGCTACTATTTTGAGTCTCGGATTGTCAAGCTTGCAGATAAAGTTGGCTGCTTTAGTTTCCGTGGCCAAATGCACATTAGCCAATTTCGTAGGCAGACGAACTTGAGCTTACCCTTTAAGTAGAAAAACATTCCAAAGTGCACTTCCAAGCAAGGCGTCCCATCTGGATTGAGGTATAATTTTCCCGTTTTCTCTCTCTAGCGTATGATATTTAGGAAAAGAATTGCACTTTCTACCACTCAATTTTTCTTTGAGCATAAATCAAGTCAAGTTCAAAATCTGCATCCGGGGAAAATCACATTCTTTTTTTCCATTTTCCCGTCTACTGAAAGGAAAGAAATGGAAATAAAACTACTTTGTTCATACTTTTGAAGAAATTCACAGAATTCAGAGGGTTTGAACGAAATGCCTGAAGTTTGTACTACATTTTAAATCACATTTTTGGATAAAGAAGAAGAAAAAATTGTAATTTGTTGTAATCTAGCGAAACCTGAGAACAGGTTAAATTGTCAGGGAAGAACAGTACGTCAAAAATCTTATGTCAGAATGCGAATTTGTAAAAATGACTGATAGTGGCTATACATATTTTAGTTCCAAAAAGCCTTCCTAATACCCTGCTTAGATTCGTGTTTACTCAGTCCGAATTCGCAGCTACTACGATAGCCCTAGCCCAAACCAGGCTCAATCCGCCATATCAGAGGTCCATCAGGCACTCGGAGTAAAGACAGAGCGCAATCTTTCGCTAACATCGAGCAATTAATCATGAGGACATCGTTTTCCCAGAGAGCCCCATCACCATAGATCAACGTCACAACAGGGAGTTTCGTATCGCACCCGCAGGTGGTCCCCCTTCTCGGGCTTCGGGGGGCGACCAAATTCGAAACAAATGTTGACGATGAGCGCAGTAGCTTTTTCGTCACACATCGTGCTGCGTCGAGCACACAACGCACGCGCCAGAAGTTGACCTCTTTGTGTAAAATATTGTTACACATCTATCCCACCACCACACTCTACATACAGCGCGTCGAGAGTTTTTTGGGTTACGGTAGCACATCTGAGTGTGATGTTCGAGAATTCGCTCGATGATAGAGAACGTTCAGAAGCGACAAAATTTCTCGTTTCTTCGCCACACCCCACACTTTCTTCTTTCTACCATCCCTTCATCTAAACCATCCAAAAACGATCAACATGGAAACATCCCATTTGATGAGACTCGCTCCCACCGAAATCTTCCGCAAGATAACATCTTTTCGTTCCAGAAGAACGCCTACGACAATTCATACACATACACACCACACGACTACCGTATACCCTCATTCTCGGATACCCGCTTGGAAATCTGCACACGCCAATTTCCTGTCTTGCGTGCAGTTATTAGCGAATCGTCACGTAACGACTTCCCGGCGACACAAAAACGCAATTACAGTAACCCTGTGCGACGAATGAGTGTGTACTCATTGCACACCCTCTAAAGAGCGAATAAGTCGGGTTCCGAATTGTGTCCTAGGGCTTAGAGAGTGAAGCGAATGCGAGACATGCCAATCATAAATAGGTGCAGCCGCGATGCGAATGACATCGTCAGAATAAATATAGCGTAATGTGGAAAGATAGCGCGCGGTTTACCCAGGTATGCGGGTGTCTGGTTATCTGGTTAGGACTTACCGTTAGGTTTTGGAACAACCAAGCGCGGAACTTTGTGATCGCTTCTTTCGAAAAGACTTTCGGCACTTTGCGCTTGTGGCCATTTATGGATCCGTTCTGGCCGTCGCTCAGCACGCTTTCACGACCATCTTCGTTCGAGCCACACAACGACAAGAGCTCGTCTCCTATAACTCACCTTTAAGTGGGGTGCCATGGGTGGCGTCCCGCACCGATCCGCTTGCTGTGCTTGGAAGAAGAGAGCTCAGAGGAGGCAAGAGAAATTAGAGAACTCGAGTGAACGAATGACGAACATAACACTGACAGGGAACTTACCACTCATACATTTAGTTTTAGCAAACCAAAAAGTGCAGCACACAAAAAGAACATAAATGAAAACCACGTCAATCGCAGCCGAGCGCGTCGAGTGCAGCAAAATTAGAATACAAAAGCGTGAGTAAAAGCGAAGAGAGCGAATTACCGTTAAATGCTGGAAAAGCCAAGCACGCAGAATGTTGGTGGCCGGCTTCGGGAAGATGCCGCGCTTCTTCGCCTGGCCGGAGTTCGCCTTTGAGCCGCGCAGCGGGGTCTCGCGACCGGCCTGCGGGGGATCCGACGGGTGCTGCGGGTAGACGACCAGCTGCTGACAGTACTCGCTACCGTCGCCGTACATCTCGTAGCCGTGGTGCTGTCCCGAAGGACCCGCGTAGCCTGTACAGTCCATGAGTAGACCGGGAGCATGGTGTTGGAGACATTCATCCATCAGGCCACCACTGCCAGCGGCCGTAGACATACAAAGCTCTGAAAGCCGTCGACGGACAACATTGAAAGCTCATTAGGCAAACGCAGTGGAGCGCGAAATCTGCGATACTCACGGCACACTCATAACTGTTATTGTGAGCCGACTGACGACCGACTCGGGTCAGCTGGCTCGTGCACACGGTGACGGGACTCATGCCGGGTTTGAAAAGGACAAGCATGCCATGCAAAATGCTTGGATTCGAATCTACGGCAAGACGAGGACAGGACGGACACAGAAGACTACACCACACTTTGACGGGGCAGACAAAAGGAGAGATCTCGAGGAAAGAAAGGGATCTAGAATTTTGAAATATCAAAATCTGTGTAACTCTTGACAAAAAGAAAATTTCCAGAAGCAAGTAGGAGCAGTTTTACCAGCTATTAACTACAGCGACTATCTCGCCGCTGTGTATAGAAATGTCAATCAAGAAGAGCATCAAATTAGAGGTTATGAGCGCGAAACGTTTCCCGTTACGACCAAAACCCAATAACTCCATTGGAACGGATCCGACAGTTAAGGGAAAAGAAATGATTGGTTAGAATGAGGATAAAAGCACCGATCAAAGAATGGATAGCGAAGCAAGCGGTACCAGGCGGGACTGAAACTTTTAAATATTGGATGAAAAGTAAGGAAAATACGAGGCTAATGTTAGTGGAAAGGGAGGGCAAGCACTATTTTGTATACTTACCAGCTTCCGAGATCGAATCCAAACTTGGTGGATTACCATTGTTAGCCCCTTGTTGAACGGGAGTGTCACCGGATTGTGGTGTGACGTCATTTCGGAGACACGTAGAGCTGGAAAATATAAAAATTTAGTTTTGGGTGTTTCCGAATTTGTCTGTTTGATCTCCACCTGCTGGGGCTATTGACGGCTTGCATGGGTAGGGTTTGGGACGTCCCAGCCGCCGTGGGTGACGTCCCGCCCATCGCTAAAGGGTGGCTTGGCTGAGAAGGTATTGGGTAGCCCATCGAAGGACCCTGAAAATAAACCGTGTAGATTTCTGCTACTTTGAAATTCGATCGTGAAAAATATGTCGTATGGGTATTTCAGTCCTCAAACGATGAAAGTTTTGGAACCAACAATTTTGTTTGTGTATGAATCCTGCCAAGTTTGAGGTACCCGAATGTACTTTTGCAGTCAAATGTGGCGATTATGCGCCCAAGCCACAAATAGCAGAAAAACTGGTAGTGCGATAAGCAATGCATGGAATCGATTTGCGCTGCTACGACAAATCCAAGAACCCTCCAACCCTCCTTTGGCGGTTTACCAAGAATGTCCATTACCCAACCCCTACTCATTCATCAGTTTACCCAATGGGGACTTCGCCAAAAGTAAAAGCTCTTATCTACAGCTCCCCAAGAATCACCCTGGATCCTGTGTTACGGTAGCTGAAGCAAGTAGCGAGTGCGCGCGCGCAAGTTTCGCGCCCGAAAACGCAAACAAAACGGTGCGAGCGGCGCCGTTCCGACAATCATAAAACAAAAGCACCTCAACGCGGGTCTACTGTAGCTCTGAGCTGATGATGCATGCTTAGCGTAAGCACAATGAGTGGATTTTAGGACTATAGAAATCCGGTTTTTGAGGTGATTGGAAGATGAGAAAAGAGATGTGAAATCCGGTCTTCAAGAATTTTGTGATGGGAAAAAACCATTCATTTTGTGCGTGTTTTTCTTTCAGAAAAAATTGGAGCATAATCCTTTCTTAAGAAGGTGTTTGATAAAACCAGTGGTCATGCAGATGGGGGCGGGGGGTTTAGAAGTTATGCCGAATAGATTCACAATCAGCGGGATTTTTTTCGAAGAAACTAGTAACACCCAATTTTACTTTTTCTAAGATTGGTTAAAGCTTGCAGTTTAATTTACAGCCAGTTCCTACACAAAATGTACTTTAGGTATTTTGAGCAAAAATGAAGTTAATGTAAACATTATGAGAGTCCAAAGTTGAAAAGCTTAAGTGAGGAGATTTACAAGTGTCAGTTCTCTCATGTGAAATTATATGGCAAGAGAGACAGTTTGGTAATTTTATAGCAGCCCTTTAGATATATCTGGTCGATGCTAATAAAAAAATGGCAAGTTCTAACCAATCTATTTTTCAACTTTTAGAACTACAAGAACCATCAATCTCTAATATTCTTCGAAAATACCTTTCCATACATCTTATTTTTAGTCCCTCACTGACCAATTTTGACTATTCAGAATTCCTTTCCTACAACTACTATTTCCCTCAAAACTCCTCTCACAAACAAACACAAAGAAACGCCCGCCATACCGCCACCGTTAAGTGGGTTGCCTCCCCTTAAACCTGCTCGAAGGAACGGCTGCGGCGGCGGCGGTGGCTATGATGGTTTCCCGCAAAGCGAAAAATTTGCATAGGATCAGCTGGTTAACCAGGGAGGATTTCCAGAAGTGGAAAGACGATACGAGCACGCGTCAGAGCACAAATATGCATTAGCGACTTTCCTGAGAGAGAGCTGGCGAGCCATGCATCTGCAAATTATAGCCGCACACTTTGCGAGATTGACAGCAATTGCTGTTGTCGTGTTCTGCTTAGCGTGTGTGCGTACTCGCAATGAACTGACTAGATTCTGATTTCCATAATTGGGAAGAGTGGTGTAGGGAGAAAATCCTCTCCGTATAAAGCAATAATAGAAGTAAATATGTAAGTAAGAAAGCACCAGAAAAGGAATCTATAGACCTTCCCGGCTCCCAGTAAAGATAGAAGGCGTGTAAATGTGATTATTTATGGTAAGCCTCACGAAATACTTGTGTTTTGTATGCATCTAGCTCAACGGCACGCAAACAACTGATTTTAGTGATTCTCTGTTCAAAACTTTACGGTACTTATAATTTGGAGGGTGGATACCAATTCTTCCAGAATTTCAAACGAATTTTGATTGGAAACAAGGAAAATTCTCAACCACTTAATTCATTCGTTTATCATCTTACTTTATAGAAAGAAAGTAAATGAAGCCAAAAACCAAGGAATTATACTACGAAGGAGTAATGGATAAAATGGATTTAAAAAAAGACATGAATTTAGACGGTCAATCAGTCTCGGAGGTCATGGTTGTAGAAGCGGAATAAATCTAATAAAATACAGGATTTTCCAAAGTCAGAATTATGTAATCTTTGGACTTGCTTCCCTTGAGAATTTTCAAGATTATCTGTATTTAATGCGTGCGCTTGAAATGCGTCAATACAACTCGTCAAGAAACCCTCGATCACAAAAAAAGAAGTTGCTCTACCTTTGCAAATTTACAGCCAATTATTGTTTGAAGGATGTACAAAGCAACTGGGGTGAGTTTGAGAGTAAGGGCTGGGAAAAATCACTGGTCAAAATCCATCGTTAGTCCATCCAGCCATTCATTTTCGTCCCAAACTACATTCCAAACCCCCATCATTTTCCTCCGAGCAACCACAAACAACAATCGATGTGCTTACACACCGGTGGCGCAAGCTTCGACTCGAATCAAGGGTAACTGCGATCGTCAGGTGGTGTGCGCTGCTGCGGTGTTTTGTCCTGGAAGCTGGTGCTGGTTGTGAAACGGCTGATAGCAACGATTGATTGTTCGATGAGGGGGAAGGCACACGGATCCCCACCCCTACCCTCCAGCCGACCCCGGCTTCGTGGCTACCTTGCTATGCAAAGCGATGCTAGCGGCGATCGTCGTCATCCACGACGACCGAAGGCGGCGCTCGGGCGCTTATAAATCAACGCCACCACTCCGTCATATGTCAGGCGTGCACGTCGCACAACAGATGTTTTCTTTTTCAAATTCAGCATTCATTGATTGAGTGCTGAACGACGTTTGAGGCAATGCTACAGTGCCAGCAGGACTCACTTCCATCGAATTCTGCATGGTTCGGTTGTTCTCCGGTAGCGGAACTGACTGCGGCTCATAGGGCGGTTGGAAATGGCTGCAAGCAATTGACTCAGGATCGCCTAAGGGGGCCATTCAAATCACAGAGTGTCCACGTACCTCATAGGGGTGCCCATATTGGGGCTTGCAGATTGGGCTGTGGAACCGGGCGACATTGGCGGTTGCGATGAAGATGCTCGCTCGTCGCCAACTATATCCATTGGCATCTTCCCTTTCAAGCACGTCACGTATCGGTTACAGAAGTTGTCGCAAAGCTCGTGAACCTGCAAGGCCATATTGAGAAATGAACACTTATGAAGATAACTGTGGCATTTAATGGTGATGACCCAGACGCACTATTCTTTGCTGGAGCTAACAACCAACTTTTAGAATCGATAAGAGACTAATTTAGCACTTTTAAGAAGATTAAATGGTTTTACGGGAGATTTGAAAAAGACCTCACTTCGCAAGCAATTCCTATCAAATGGCTGGTTGCTACTTTCGGTATGTTGGCACGTGTAATTCATAGACAAAATCTACTAGGAACTACCCCACAAAAAATCTTCTGCCATAAAAGAAGCTTTTAGTCATGAGATTTTTCGAGTTGGCTTTGTGTGACAAATACACAGAAAATTCGACAGTAACTTGCAATTTCATCATTCAACGATGTTTTCCCAGACCGACATCCTTGAAAGACATTTTCAAGAACCCGGACATGACCATGGAGATGAATTCCGCACCCAAGACTTTTAACTATATGTAGATCTCAGAAATGGGCCCTTAGCTCTATTTAGAACAATTTCTAGTCATCCTTATTTCAGAAGTTTTATGCGACCTTCGCGCAAAGCTAAAAATCACTTCGGGACGCATCGCTAAGCCTATAGTGCGTTCATAGTAACCATTATTTCCCGACAAAACCGTGCCAGTCATCACTGACGGACGTATCCATTATGATGGCGACATTTGTCACTTCGAATCCGTTACTAAATCAATAAAAGTGTCTGTCAGTATAGGGAGAGATGAAGACAAATCCGCTTGTCGTCCATGCGTCGCGCTGGCCGTACGTCTCGCAGCCGCCGCCGTTCGACTCGCTCCATCAAAAGTTTCACGCCGCTCGTCGGACGCTGATCGATAGACCATCAACGACGCCGTTATAGTGACAGAGTGTTATGTGATGCACAATTATTTATGTGGCGATTTCATCTACAACAACACACAAGCGACGCGCATTGATTACGCTCGCGCGCGTAGCCGGAGGGCGACAAAAATCGATACTTGCTGCAAAGCGCAGCGCGATTCGCGCGACGCGCAGCGCAGCAACGAACGCAACGGCGCCCCGCAGAGCTCGCCGCGCGGGACGTAACAGAATCGCATGAAATAAAAGCGAGGAAATGTGTTTCGCTGAATGAAGTTGGATGGGGCAACGGCCGCGGAAAAAAGGACGAACGGTGTTCCCCACAGGCCGCGCCGCCGCATCCCAAAAAAAGAAACTCCACTTTCGAGGCGAACACCGAGATAAGGGCGAACTGATAAACGACTCTCTATGTAACAAGTGTCACGAACGCTCTTTGGTTAAACGGCGTCCGTGCACTTCGGATCGCAGCCACGGGAGCAGCCACCTTGGCTCGGTTTATGAACTTAGGACTTACGAAGATAAAAACAGATTTGCCAATTTGGGATATTCACGATAAATGATTGGGGTGCAAAGAAGATGTCATAGTCAATAAAACTTCGCAATTTCTATACGACAGCAAACAAAATTAAGTAGCCCCCAAACTGGTAGAGTATTGAATAGGTTGCCAAATGTTAGAAATATCATAGAAATCAGATTTACCCGAAATTTGTCACTTTTGCAAACTTATGCTCCCAGAAATTTTGATGATGAATCAACATCAAAGACAATTTTTATTCAGGGTTTTGAGCAGAACAGGTTTTGTAGTTCTTTTGCCATGATTTTTCTGTGTAATGCAAAAAATTGGTCAGGGCGAGATTTCTAAAAAAAATGATCCTGAGTCATCCTCAAAACTTAACAAATATCACTTCCCATCCTATTCCGATCTTAATAGTTGTGTTTTGAAAATTTTGAAAAGCATGGACAAACAGTATTCAAGCAAGAGGAGTGGAGAAGTGTCCGATTTGAAAAGCTAAGATGGAAAAAGAATCTGATTTCAGCCTTCTCCTGCTACTTACCTTCTCAAGTTCCAGCAAATGAAAACGTAGCATTTGGATAGACTGCAGCATAAGATTATCGAGCTCCCTGTTAGGCACATAAAATGTGTTCTCCATTTTCACCTGAAAGAGAGAAATTTGAGTTGTTCAACAAACTCAAGAAAGAAAGTTCCAAGGAAATGAAACAAACCGTTTTCGCAAATTCCGCAAGATCTTCTTTGAACGAGCTGGACGAGCAAACATCGCTTGTTGATGTGCCATCTCGGTTTTGTTCACGTGGAGTTGAAGTAGCCAATTCGCATTTTTCGAAGAGCACGGTGAGCAGCGGAAAAAGCGGATGCCTATAAGAACTGAGTAGAACGGATAATAAACGCAGATCGACAGAAGTGCTCCCCGAGGGGCACTTTGTCGAGAAGAGCAGAAGAAGAGTGAATCTGCGAGAGCTCACGAGTGAATGGCCGCTTTGTCACGCTTGACTTGCTCATCAAGATGTGGATGCATCATTTGATCGCTGGTTGACATCGGTCCACCTAGCTGGTACATGTTGTTATAGTATGGACCCATGTTGCCTGTGGGATCCGTCGGCACCGGGTAGGATCCGTCACCCGGCGGCGGAGCTGGAGGTCCGTAACCATCGCCGTACTGAAAATGAGATTTTCTAGAAATTTTCGAACAACGAGGATCGCCATGTATGTTATCTCAATTGGTCTCTACGCATCGATTCAACTTCCAAAGGGAGATTGAGAGATTTATGGACATGGTTGTAAGGTGGAACACGGCGAACGACGCACGGCTCTCATTACGACTTGGATAAACGTGCGGATTTTCTAGGCTACTGGGATATGAGTGATAGTCATCAGCGCGAGCTTCGGCCTTCCAGCTCTCCACTTTTACGCGGCTACACGGGTGTTTAAACTGCGCTAAAGCATGGCAGAGGTGGGAAATGAGAGAAATGATGTGTAGCAGCAGTGAGCGGCCGTAAAATCAGCATCAAAGTTATGGCCTATTGAGCTGTCTTCCCTGACACATACGCTAAAATATAGGGAAGAATAAGAACACAATACGGGAAGCCGGTGGTGTGAGCGAGTGGGGTTGGGAGAGAGAGAGCGGCGACCCACACAGCAGCGCGATAAATAATCGCATATATAACGATGATATTTCAAATCCGTAACGACAAGTCGTAAATAGTGGAAATGGAGGATGAATTGGTAAATACCCTGTGGGCCATGGCTGTGGGGCCGACACGACGACGACGACAACGACGACGACGGGGCGGGAGCCGAACTCTCCGGCGAAGGAACGCGGCTTGACGGATTACGACGGGCGCTAGCCGTTGCGTTACGTGGCGCTCAGGGCCTTCGCTTCTTGTGAATACAGATGAATATGAGGTGACAGCTCTCTGACGACGTTTCCGCGGGCGCTTCGCAACAGCCGCACAGGCAACGCGCGCGGCCCGCCGCCCCAGACCCCGCCCCCGGCGCGGGCACTGTGACCAATGGTGCCGCGCCGGCACGCCCCCGCCGCCCGCTACGGTAGCAGAGGCGCGCATCGATTCGGGAGCCACCGGCTCCGACATACATCAAGCAATCAGGTCTGTGTCAATCATTGTCCCACCAGCAATTGATATCCGAAACATCGGCAATCGATCCTCACGAGATGCTGATTAGTGAATAAGCAATGAGAGATGTAGTGATACGGCGGCTCGTCGCACTGTGCGTCGAACTGGTTTCGGAACGCTGCGCAATAAAATGTGATAGATTAGAGAGTTATCCGAGCGCCTCTGAAAAATAGCCCCACGCCGCAAGTGCTGGCCAACGGCTCTCTCGCTTGACAATGTTTCCATCACCAGAATGTTGGCACTTAACCTGACATCTTCACATCAATTACACAAACAACTCTTACCTCGATCGGATCAGTTTTCTCAAGTTTGACGAGGTTCGATGACGAGTCCCCGATCGGGAGCCCAGTGCCAGATACTGGGAAAGCTCCAGCACCTAAAGGTGCATGGAATTGCCACATGTCCATGGCTCCAGGCCATAATTGGGGCTCTGACATTCTGAAAATCGACAAGCATTTTTTGTGATAAACAAAGTGCTGAGAACTTATTGACGACGGAGAAGAAGAAGAGAAATTAGAATGTCATCCACGAGAAAGACAACTGTGACAGATCGTTCATGTCAATAGGATGTGTGTACTTCTTACAGTTTGAAGTGTGTATTTTGCTATGCACTTCGTTTGAGAGTTTAATAAAAGGTCTGTTCCTAGCACTCTCAAGTCTTATACTATGTGTACTTCTCGAATGTATTTCCAGCTTCAAAGTGAATATCAAACCAAATAAGGAGCGGTCGAAGTGCGCTAACATCTCATGCATTCATCGCATCAAGTGCTCGTGCAGCGGCAGTTAATTCCACTTAGATTAATGCTAGCGGACAAGAGGGGGGACCACAGCACTAGACGTTATTGCTCAATGCTGTGCTAATCACAAAATTATGGGGTTTGGTACCAGTGTCAAGCGCTTGACTTCGAATTACTAAGATATCATTCTTTGGCTTGAAGAAGAGATCAGAAAGACAGAACGTGAGAGCGTAAACACGTGAGGGATGGAAAATCAAGAAAGAAATTTTTGGAGAAACAGAAAATGTAACACAATCTAGAATACACATGAAAGTAATGATATCCATCCTTAACCGCATTTACGAAAGCGAAAGCCTGTTCTCTCGAAATCCGAATCTTAGTGGTTGCACAGCTAGCTGACGGTGTTAGTTAGTTTTACCCCCAGCTGTCACTCAAACCAACCCTGCAAAAGACGCGACAAAGAATTCTCTTCTTTTCGTTGCTTCGCCAGCCCCGATATGTCATAATAAATTATCACAATATTTTGATTTCTTTTTCGGATAACTCGAACTAAATTATGCATCCCGTTGAAAAATCGATCGTCATGAAATTTCCGGCATCACTGACGTCTACGGGGGGAACAGAACGATGATTGATGCGGTACATGAGCGCGCAGGTGCCACTGCTGTGCATGATTTTGTCTAGTAAAAAAGATGGAAAGTGAAGTCAACTATGGAAAAACGATCCATTGGCACTGTACACAAGTTCAGGACCAAATTAGGGGAAGAAAATTACGAAATGAAACAGTAGATCAATTTCTGGAAGCGGGCGAACCTTCTATAAAATGGTAGCCGTTTGCGTAAAATTGTATATCAGCAAGAAGCTGGAGCGAGCCCAAGGGCTAGGAAAACTTCACAAAATGGATGGTATAGCAAATTCTGGAAGCGAACGAACTTCAAATAAGTGCTGCTTGTTTGCGTATTAATACTGGAACATGCTCACATCAAACTACTGACATTCGATCATGCTAGAAAATTTATGAGCACGAAAAAAGTAGTAAATGCAATGGTTGGGTAGAAACACGACTTTGCATGCAGTTGAGTGGGCTGAACAAATCGAGAAAAGCAGAATTATTGAGATAATGGGGTCAAAAAGAGTGTTTGGCAAATTAGATAGTAACCCCATCATGACTTTCCAAAATTCACGGTTCAAATCACTGAAATAAAAAACCTTTTAATCCAGGATCACCGACAAAGACTGGCTGCACAGGTTTGCTTCCAAGGAAAAAACAACGACAACTCGCATACCAAAAATGGAAGCGGTTTCACCCAAAGCAGCAATAACGCCCAAATGCTGATCTTAGCAAGCTGAATCCCATCCGGGCGACTCCCCTAATGAAAAAGTCAAACACTTCCGAGCCAACCGCAAGGAGCGCCCGCTAATCCAAATAATGTGATAGGTGAAATTGATACAGGCCGAAAAGTCTAGTAGTGTTGAGCTGAGTGTTGAGTGACGGTGCCTTGGCCGAGAGGCGAAAACGAGCCGGGCCCAAGGCGTTTGATCCCTACCGCCAGTGCTCTCGGGTCGGGAGCAATTAGATTAGTAATTGCTGGGAAGTTAAGGTTTTCGCTGGCGCTGAGCTGGGAACGATAATTGGATAGCTATCAGCTAGATCAGCTATGTGGATAAGAGGATTTATGGGTGGTTTTTTGGGAGCTCGTAAATAATGGACAATAACTGTCAGTCGACGACAAAGTCAATAATGGTTTATTGAGAAGAAAAGAAGAGAACAAATGATCCATTGAGTAGCGAAAAACTGAAAAAAATGAAAAGCTTTGAAATGAAGAATTAGGAGGAAAGATGGGTTGTGCTATATATATGAATATACCATGCATTTTATGAGATGAGAACAGTAACTGAATATTCCGGAAAGAAAGAACAGTATTTGACTAATTTGAGAAAGCAATTCCTCAGCACTTTACCGAACCCTAACATTTTTGAGTTTGGGTGTCTGTACATATACTGTACCGTACTTTGATTTCGAGTTCGAAGACTGCTCTCCAAGCAAAGAATTTCTCCAAGAAAAAGAGGAAAAAATACGAAAGCACGTAGAAATAGTGAAGTGAGAGGACAGATAAAGAACGAAAATGATATGGAAAAGATTCATGGAAGATGTAACATGGAGCTCCATGCTTTTATGAGTTCAAGGGCAACCGAGCATTCAAAGGGACGAAATTTGATGGGGTTTGGAAGGCAGTTGGCTTCGACTTATTCAAAAATTTAAGCTTGCGCTCACCGGCACGAAATCTGTGCTTTGACTTTGAATTCTTGAATCTTCACTCAATTATGCAATAAAAATAGCTATCAGTAGCAAAAATCGTAAATTTTTTGGATATCGAGAATATGACAATCAAAGAGCTGTGAGATGTACGGAACACGATACAGATAGCGAAAGATACGTCGAGAAAAAAAAAAGAACTTCTGCAAAAGAATAATCGCTCAATGAAGTTGAGGTCGCCATGTGTTGTGTGATGCAGCGGCTGCTATTCGGACGCGACTATTGTATAACCTGTTTTGGGTACACTCGGCTCGGCTTGGTTGAGTATAAACTGTCGGCTCGAATTACGCGGATGACGATGCAGTTCTAAGGATTGACCGCCACCTCTCCTCCTCCTCTCCCCACTCTTCTACCCGCCCTCCTCCTCAGCACATAAGGAATTTGCATACGCTGAGGCGGACGACGGACGGACTGGACGTGTGCGGACCTAGTCCGAGTCACAAACAAGGACAGATGTGCCGCATAGAGCGGACAAAAGCCGAGAAAATGATTTATGACAGTATCGACAGCTCCATAGCTCGAAGGTCAAGCAATCATCTGCCACTGAAACTGTGAAAAAGATGTGGGTTGCACGAAGACGGGTGGCGGTTAGGGTTACCCTCCTTGCAAAGGCTGTTGGACTCTATTTCTTCCAGCATATCAAATACACACCCGCCTTAGCTAGACCTGCCTAGGAAGTTCCCTGCTAAGAAAAATTCCCCAAATATTGCGATAGGCCAATCCAGAAAGGTTCTCCTCAGTTTTATTACCATTGTACCTACTCAAAGCCTTATTATCCAACTTCCAGGTATCACTACGTTCGCGAAACTGACAAAGAGAAATGATGGCGAACTCGGAGCAGACGAAGAAGAGTCGCGATGTTAGAACATGACCAGAACAAAGACTTTTTAACGTACGTGCCAGATGTACGCGACTGTAGTGTATAGACAGCCGAAGAATGAATTAGAAAGGAGTATGAGGGGTTTTGGAAGGGGATAAAAGTTAGGTAGTGGTGATTTTCGCAATAGTTGTGGAATAATTTGATCTACTTTCTAATGGGACGTCTTATTTCGGGAACAAAGCGCAAAAGGTAAAAGATGTAGTATATGCGAGGCAGACAACTAGCTTCGAGGAGAGAATTATTGCCAAACTTTGAAAATAGACGTCAGATTGCCGCATTTCTTACTCGGTTCAGTCAATTTGACTAATGCCTCCGTAATAAGAAATAAGGATTTTTATTATTTGACTAAAAATTTTTAAGCTCGGTTTCGTTCCTGTCCTCAGAGGGAGTAAACGTAACACTTCTTCGGAACTCTTCAGAGAATGGAAGGTCTATAGATACCTTATGTTTTGAGTATTTAAAAGAGAGTGTATTTTAGATTAAAATTAGTTTTTATTTTGGAGAATTGACCACACCCTCCAGAAATATGAATTCTACGGTTCGTCTTATAAGAACTTTTATCTCCCTATAACGATGATAGAAGACAACTCCAATCAATTTTGATCAGTAGACGACACAAAACCATGAAAAACCTAACAAGTTTCGAGCAAAAACTGATTTAAACGACATAAACAACGAAGACGACGGAATAAACCAGTTCGGAGTGCATAAAATGATCCCATAAAATAGCAGTAGAATGTTGCGCGGCCATGGGGGTCAACCGTAGGGCTATCGTAGATGGTCGTAAATGCGTACTTTACGAGCTGACACATTATTGCGTGCTCAACGCGCCGCGTTAAGCGCATCTTGCGCACCTTGCGTGACGATTACAGCCAGACATTTAGCCATAAAATTGGTATTTAAATGTGACTTAAGAAGGAAGTAAGCAGAAGGAGAG